CATCAGCTCCCCTCCCCCCATTCAGGGCCACAGCTGGACCCCTGAGGTCTGATTACAGGTGGTCAGCTAGCTCTTAGCAGCAAAGTGGGGCATGGGGGGGTGCAGCACCAGTGGTCTCAGCCTTATCTGGGTCTTCTCCTTACTCCCCCAGGGCTGGCACCAGGCAGGCACAGGGTTCAGCCATTCATAGCTTTGAGGAGGGAGGGCAGAGGTGAGGGAGGAGCAGCCCATCACAGACCCCTGAGGGCCTCATCTGCCTCCAAGCAGAGGTCTGCCTTCACGTGCAGAGTGCCTGTTTGCCTCACCTGGTGCACTTTAAAATGACCAAGAGGTTGGCTGCTGTCTGGGTATGACACTAGATGACAACTGATTAAAATGGGAAGCAGAAGATTGTTGACTGTGAAAGCAAATCGATATCAAAATAATATGCACCGTAGATGTGATGTGCATTAAAAAATATGTGATCGGAGTAGAAAAAATTAAAGTCTGTGTACAATTGTTAGCAGCAGTAATCTCTGGGTGGCAGGAACATGCTGTTTTATTCCTCCCTTTTTTTTTTTTAAACACATATTCTAATTTTCTACAAGGCACTGATGTAGTTTCTGGGTAATAAAACATTTTTATAGCCCTGGCAAGGTGGCTCAGGTGGTTGGAACATTGTCCCATGCACCAAAAGGTTGTGGGTTTGATTCCCAGTTAGGGCACAGACCTAGGCTGCCAGTTTGCCTCAGTGGTTAGAGTGTTGATTTGTGTGAGAGGCAACCAATCAATGTGTCTCTCTCACATAGATGTTTCTCTTGCTCTCTCTCCTTCCCTTCCACTGCATCTAAAAATCAATGGAAAAATATCCTCAGGTGAGGATTAACAACAACAACAACAACAATAATAATAATAAAGTTTTTATAAATGACTATTTCATGACATGAAAAATGACAAGGGGGTGGTGGTGTCATGTGAGCCCAGAGCTTGGGAAAGCTCTTGATTGCTGTGTGGACAGGTCCCTTCTCTGTTTTTATTCCTTCCTCTGGATAAAGGAGACTCCACATGGAGAGTGATGTGAGTGTTGAGGATGTACTGCATGTAAACACTTGAACTGGTGCTTGGCACATAGTAAATGCTCAATAATGGTGGCTGCTGGACACTTCCAGTGTACTTGCAGGGATGGGTGTGCATGAGTCCCTTAGGCTGGCATATGTGCAGGTTCACATACACATAGGTCTACATGTGCACCAATGTACGTCATGCACACTGAAGTTGGTATGTTGCATGAGGCAGATTGCACTTGCGTGGGGGCACAAGCATGTGCAAACAGAATCACGGGTACTTGGCCCTGAGAACAACGTCCTGGGAGGAGGAAATGTAGTTCTCAGTTTTCTGCCCCAGCACTCTCATCTCCCTGGTTCCCTTCAGCTCAAAGATTCTGGGAATTTAGGCTTCATTTTTAAGGCTGTCAGTGTATGGGTTAAACAACCTCCAAAAAAGAGGAAATTGGTAGGGAGATTTGGGGCACTTGGGTTTGTGGCTCTGCCGTGCTGCTGAGGGACATCTGGACCCACTCTGGCCAGCTTTGAGTCCTCAGTCTCTCTTGTCCATCCACCCCCATGGCCCTTGCCCTTTTATCACTCAGAGCATTACCATCAGTGGTCTGGAGACCCGTCCTTGGCATCTTGGTCTTCTCCACTTGTTGCTTTTTTAAAATAAATTTTTATTGATTTTAGAGAAGAGAGGGAGGGAGGGAGGGGGAGAAAGAGAGAGAGTGAGAGAGAAAGAGAGAGAGAGAGAAATATTGATTGGTTGCTTTCTGGAGGGCACTCTGATCGGGGACTGAACCTGAAACCTGGGTATGTGCCCTAACTGGAAATCGAAACAGTGACCTTTTTGTGCACAGGGTGATGTTCAACCAACTGAGCCACACTAGCCAGGGCTCGTCTTCATTTCTAATGCTTAGAAAGGACTATGCCAGTCCCCTGCTCAGAATCCTTCCTTGGCTCCCCACTGCCTCCAGGATAAAACCTAAGTTCCTTGCTTGGCCTTGTGGGGTTTGCTCACCTTTCCTCATCTCTTACTCTTCTTCATTCTGCTGGACTTTTCCCTCTACTCAGACTGGGGTCCTCTCCTGGATGCAATGATGAAGAGTAAATGAGAGAAGTGAATTTCCTCTTCTCACTCCTCTTTATATTTAATTTGGAATCCAGCAAATTTGCATTCAGATCTCATCTTTGCCATTTCCTCGCTCTTTGTGACCCTGAGCAGGTTTCAGACCCTATGAGTTTTAGATGGTTCCTTTGCCAGATGGAAATAAAATATTTCTTTTTGCTAGGGCTGGATTTATTTTAATTTTCAATTGTATTTGTTTTTAAAGCCCCGGCCGGTTTGGCTCAGCGGTTAGAGCGTCGGTCCTCAGACCAGAGGCCCGGGTTTGGTTCCACTAAGAGCACGTACTTCCGTTGCAGTTTGTCCCCGCCCCAGTTGGGGTCCTGTGGGTGGCAGCCAGTCCATGTGTCTCTCTCACATCGATGTTTTTCTCTCTCTCTCTCTCTCCTTTCCTCCCACTCTATCTGAAGATAAATGCAAAAATGTCCTCGGGTGAGGATAAGAAAAAAAGTTCACCTGGCTCAACATTTTGATAAGATTACATATACAGCAAAAATTTCCTCCCCAAACACCCAGTTTTTTTTTTGTATCTTCCTTGCCCTTAAAGTTACTCTTTTACACATCTTGTAGATTCTTCCATAAATGTCACCTATCGAGGACCTACCATATGTGCTCTCCATGGACATTTCACTGTCCTCACAGCCGCCCCTCAGGCATAAGAGGAAATTGAGGCTCAGAGACGAGAAGCCACTTGCCCAAAGTCACACATTGGTAAGCAGTAGACCCAAGATAATGTGAGCGTGTCCATTTATTAAGTGCCTACTATGTGCCAGGTCCTCAGGACTGTCTCAAACCTGGGACATTCAGCACATTCAACCGATACTGAGTGCCCTCATCTTTTGGGCACTCGGCTGGGTGCTGGCGAGGGCTCATCGCGGGACACATTTTCCGGGTAAGAAAACCAAGAAACAGAAGGGGAAAACCGCCCTGATATCACAGGGTGCTAATCAGCCAGCCCTGTTTTACTGGTAGGGGAACTGGGGCACAGAGAAGGAACGTGACTTGCTCAAGGAAAGCCAGCTGGCAGGTGGCAGAGCCAGACCCAAAGTCTCACACTGGCTACCAAGGCTCTGCGAGCGGCCTCGTGGCCCCTCCCCTTTCGGCGGGCGTGTCCAACCTGGCCCCGCCCCGCCGCGTTCCAGGCAGCCGGGGCGGCGTTTCCTGCCTGCATCGCTGGGCGGGCGGCCGGCCCATCTGGCGGCCCCCGCGGGGCGGCGCGGGGAGGCGGCCCAGACTCGCTGGAGCCAGGCGCCGGCCGGGCCCCCCTGCCCGCCTGCAGAGCCCAGGTGTGGCCGCGGCGGGGGAGGGGGTGTGCCTTCCTTCCCGCTCGGCCCTTCCTGCCGCACCCGGGCAGGATGCAGCCGCCTCCTGCCGCTCCTCAGCCTCCGCCTCCCACGGCCCAGCCGGGAATCAAGGAGGGAACCCGAGCTCTGGGAGAGCGGGGCGGCAGGGAGTGCAAGGCCCCGCCCGCCTCTGGTACCCGCGCCTTATGAGACCCCGGTCAAGTCTTGGCCTCTTTTGGGGGTATTCAGTTTTCTCACTTGTGCAAGGACAGCTGGACTCTGACCTCCTGGATCTTCCGGGGGCTCTGGCCTTGCCCCTCAGGGACCCCAGCCAGAACTGTGGGAGCTGGAGGCAGCTTTTCTGCCTTAGGTCTTGACATTATCCATTTATTAATCCATTTCAAGTCTGTCTCCCCAGCACAACTCAGCCCCAGTCCTGGCGGGTCCTGTGTTCCCTGCTGTGCCCAGCTCATACCTGGTCCCGAGGCCTGGAAGGACATCTCAAGGCTTTACACCCCCCAAGTTGGAGCGTTGCCTGGAAGAAAGGTTCTTATCCATTTCACAGTTGAGGAAACAGTACAGAGTGGGCAGGCCCGTTCCGGTCCCATCATGGCAGCCAGCCCTGCTCAGTCAGACTCTCATTTTCTTTTCCAGTGTGCACCCCCAAGAAATGGAACTCGGAATCCAGTATCCTGGCATGTCAAACAGCACCTCTGGTGAACATCATGGTCTTGGAAGCCAGGCACCCTAGGTTCAAATTCCCTCTGGGAACTTAATGTCTCTGCTTCAGTTTCCTTTATCTGTAAAAATGATGGTACCTATCTCACAGAATTGTTATAATAAAATATTTCTGAAATGCATAGCATAATGCTAGACACACGGTGAATACAAATGAAATAGCCTGTGCACTAGGGGCTCTCAGTACTGCTGGCCTTCTCCTTGCTGTCCCCTCCCACCTACTGTAGTTAAGGAGACTAAGACACAGAGAGGGGCACCTAAAAAGCTAGGGGCAGAAGTTGGGGGTTTTGGAGCAATTTTTCAAGAATCCACACCCACCCTGGGGTGAGGCTGGAACCAGGCCCATCCAGGGCCCCGCCCAGCCACCCACCCCTGCGTCTCCAGCGTGCGGCCTGCAGGCCCAATCCGTGCCGGCCTGTTGCCATTTTTCCATGGGACTCTGGCGGTGGCAGTTCACATCTGGAGTCTAGACTCGGAGGCTCTGCGGGCCGGGCCTACCGCCCGGGCTGGGCCACCGCTGCCCGCTGTTTGCTCAGCTGAAGCTGGTTAATTGGAATTAGAGTGGCCTCTGCGGTGCCGGCTGGCCGGGCGGGCCCTGGATGGCCGCTGCCGAGGTCTGTGGAACATCTGGCCCGGCCAGGACGGTCATTAGGTGGCGGGCGCCCGGCGCCACTGCCACCTCAGCCTCCGCCGGGGGCCGGTGGTGACTCAATGAGGCCTTTGTGGGCCCTGGGCCGCACAGCCAACCGCACTGTGTGCCTGGGCTGCCTGCCCCATCTGCTGCCCTCAGAGGGGCCTTGTTCCAGGACCACACGGCCTTCCCTCCGGAGGCGGCTGGAGTCGGAAGAGATGGAGAAGCCCCTGAAAGGGACCCTCCTGGCTAGAAGCCTTTGCGATGTCCTAGACTTGTGTTCCTTTCCATAGAATCCTAGGCCCAAGAGGTGGAGAGGAGTTGCACAGTCCTTAGGAACTCTGGAAGTCAGATTGCTTGAGGACAAGTCCGTATCTGTGGGCAAGATGCTTCAACTCTCTCACTTGCATGACAGGGTTCATATCACCTGGGCCTGACTGTGAGAATTAAGTGAAATCCTGTATTGAGGTGCTTGGTACATGTAACAGCTCAATACCTAGTGAGGTTATTACAAATACTTCTGATTCTCTGCTCATCCTTGTCCTTTAGGCACCTCCAAACTGTCTGGAAGTCAGTTATTTTCAGCCTTTGAACCCGAAGCTTGGTCAAGGGAGTGCCCTGGGCTGGGAGCTGGAGGACTGAGTCTCAGGCCAGTGGACACCCCCTCCCATCTCAGTTTCTCCACCCAGTGACCCGACACCTCACCTAGTGCACTGGGCTCCTCCGGCAGGCAAGGGCTGCTGTGTTCTGCAAATGTCATAGAAACCCTGGCCCTTCGAGCTCCAGCTCTCGGGCCTGGACGGCCTCCCAAGCACTGGGCCCAATCCCTCCCAACCTGCTTCTCCAGTGGCTTTGGCCCTTGTGCTGTGACCAGCATTGCTGTGGGGAGAGGTGCTCCTAGATTCAGGATCTTTCTGGCCTTGCAGTAGTCATTTTGAGGAAGAGCCCCAAGAATGACAATGATGGGGCCTTGATCTCGACGGCGACAGAGTCCAGGTGCTCTCCAGCTGAAGCCTTGTCGACATTGGGACCAGGGAAGCTGGTTCCTGCCAACCTGGGGATAAAATCTAAACCATTCCCTGGGGACCATGAGGCCCTGCCCATTTCTCTGCCTTTTCAGATACTGGTCCCTTTGCCGAGTGAAGTCAGTCTTTTGGCACCAACCTCTTTGCCTCCCTTCATGGGTGGGTGGAGAGGTGGCACAGCCAGCACCTGTCCAACATGTTTGCTGCCCCCTAGTGTGTGAGGACAGTGGCCAGGACAACTGGATGGCTAGTGGGAGAGGGCTCGTGGGCTCCCTCTGCTGGCCAGAGGGCATCCTTGGGGTGCTGAATTGGCAGACTGGCCAGGCACTGGGTGGGCATTCAGGAAGGAAGGGCCCAGAAGTCAGGGCTTCTCCTCAGATTGTGACAATCCATCCCCAAGAAGGGGCTTACAGAAAGGTTTCTGGGTGGGAGGGTGAGAGCTAGTAGATCCAATGTAAGATGCTGGGTGCAGAGAACCCCTCTAGGAGCTCAGAGGTCTGCCTGGGCAACAGGATGCATTTTTAATGTGAGGCAAAGTCAGTCCACAATACAAAAATCTAAAAATCAGATCCATTTTTTCCACCTGGCACCTGGGGCAGTAGGGGAAGCTGGGGGCTTCCTTTGCCTGCAGGTGACAGGGAGGGGCAGAAGAAGGCCAGAGAAGGGGAAGAGGGAACCAGGCCACAGAGGTGTCACTGCAGGATCCTGCTGCCCCGCCCCTCCCCGGAGTTGCCAGGCCTCCGGCACCCTCTGCCTGTGCAAGCCTGTGCTGGTCCTTCCCTGCCTGCCTGGCGGCCCTCATGAGGGCAGGCACCAGCCACATCATTTCTCCTTCTTCTCCAGCCCCTTTGATGCTGAGGTCTCTGTTCCCTCTTTGGATTCTGTCACGGCTGCTGGATCCTTAGGATTTGACTCCTCATAACTGACAAAAAGCCAAAACAATAAAAATAACACATTTAGACGAGGGGAAGAGGAGAATCCTTGGGCCCCGCCATCCCATCCCAGGCAAACTCCTCGGCTCACGAGGAACGTCAGCCCCTATCCACTGCCCAGCCTTTCCTAGTGCTTGGCCTGGCTCTACTGTGACAGATGGCACTGCTTTCCCAGTGCCCAATAGTGCCGAGAGGCGGCAAGGTCAGTGGCAAATGGAGGCAAGGTTGGGCTTTGGCTTGTGTGGACCAAGTTGAAGTTTCTTGAACCTCCCACTGGAGACAGTGAGGAAACTAAAGGGCAGCCAGGTTGAGGCTATGGGAGATGGCTGACTCTTAGGCCACATGGCAGAAGTCAGGGCTCGGCCCCGGGGTTTGAGCAGGCAGGGGGTTGTTCTGCTGGCAAGTGGCAAGGTGCCACTATTGAAGGCGGATACGCTGGCTTACCTCTTACTATGGGCTCCACTTATTAAGCAACTGAGTTCATGCCAAGGACAATGCCCACATTTCCTCACCAGATCAGACCCATGAGGCAGGAATGTGCCCACTTACAGATGAAGAAAGAGAGGCTTTGAAAGGAGAAAGTGACTTGCCCAAGAGTATCTATGTACAATGAGTAGTAACAGTACTACTACAGGGCTATTGACATCCACTTTCATGAGGGTGCCGCATTACTGGTGAGGACATTGAGGTTCGAGCTGCCCCGCTTCCTGGCCTCATGGCGGGGTGCAGGGTCTGCCTTATGGTTGTGGAGGAGCAGTTTCCTGTCGCTTGCCCCTGGCAATGTTCCCTACCCAGTTCACTGGGGCTGGGGTGTCTGCCCTACCTTGGGCCCCGGGGCAGTGGGGGAAAGCGGGCAGGTGGGCACCCGCTGGGCATTACATGGCGCTGGGATTCTGCGGGCGCCGGCGGCGAGGGCCAGCTAGCTTCTGCTGCATGGAGTCAGCCAGGCTGGCTGGGGAGCCCGAGACCGTGGGGAAGTGGGTGAGCCTCGGAGTATGAGGCAGGATTTCCGCTGAGGATTCGTAGCTGTGTGAGAGACAGACAGACAGACAGACAGAAAAAAGAGATGGCGAAGAAGAGACTAAAGGAGGATAGAGACTTCTCTTCCAGGAGCAGCGAGCGGAACTGTCTTATTTTGGTCTCTCTCTGCACTTTCGGCCTCTCTGGAAAGGAGCTGGTATTACTTGGAGAGTGAAAACGGAAAGATGTACTGATATAAGGGGACACTGGGCAGCTGGCGCTAGACGTCTGCGGCTGCTGGAAACATCTCTCAGATGTGCTGTTGTGTGAAAAACCAAGATGCAAAATGCTCCGAGGATGCCACCATCTGGGCAAGAATATGTACCCATATATTTGCTCTTAGGTACAAGGATGACTGAATGTAGACACACTGGGACAGAGCCGGCCTCGGTGGGGTGGTTGGGATGCTGAGAGTGTTGTCCCTCTCAGTTAGGGAATTCTGAACCACATACATGTGCTACCTATTTAAAAATAAATAAATAAATTAATTAATTTAAAAGGAGGGGGGCACCAGTAAAGGGAAAAGTAAAACAAAGGATAAAGTGGAGAATTGGGAGAGAGGTGGACAGAAAGAGAAGAGAGAGACCACCTGCTTTTTTTTTTTTTTTTTGGTACGTGCCCCTAGCGGGACCTGAACCTGGGACTCTATGGTCCGCAGGCCAATACTCCAACCGCTGAGCCAAGCTGGCCAGGGCTGCTTTTTTATCTCCTGAGGGGTGGGGGCGGAAAGGGAGGCAGCATGCCCTTATGGCTGAACATTTAGGGAAACCAAGCACTAACAGGTGAAAGGGGTACCCTCTGTTCCAGCTGGGAGTGTTCAGAGCTTGAGAGCACAATAGTACTGGCCTGGAGAGGTTACCCCATGGGGTGAGGTGGGGTTGACATTGGATGAGAGCCAGTTTGAGGGCAGGTGTTGAGCTCAGAGATCAGGTCCCACCTCTGCCCCCAAAGCGCCCCCAGACCTGTCCCCTATTTCACCCGATGCCTTGTCTCAGAGTCCATAGATTTTACCAGGCCAAGAGATAGGGGCAGGCAGGCTGGGAGCCTGGGGCTTCTAGGCAGGGCAGGTACGGGGGAGGGGTGAGTCACAGGTTCCCTTGGAGGCAGCCAGGTGCACAGAAGGCCCTGGCGGGTGCTCGAGGGACAACTTGGAGGCCAGACAGGTGGAGCTGGGTGGAAGGCCTGAGTGGGCAGCTTCAATCGAAGCTGGCAGCTATTTCTGGGTCCCTGGCAGGCGGGGTCAGTGGTGCTGGGGAGCAGACACCTGCTGGAGTCACGCAGGCCTTGGGGAGTGGCTAGTGTGCATATGGCCATGGGGAAGGGGTATGTTGCTACCGAGATAGAGAGAAACCAGCTAGTGTGTTACAGCCAGAGATGGCTGAACAGGGACTGACACTTGATTTCTAATCTGGGGCGTTTTCTGCCACACTAGAGCCCTCTTATTATTCCCAAGTGAAAACTGAGGCCAGGGGAGGGGAAGGACAAGCCTGGAGTCACAAGGTGGCACAGTCAATGGGGACTCAGGACTCCTGACAATTAGGCAGCCCTGGCAGAAGGATGGGGGAGGAATTCTACACCAGCCAGTCCTTTTTCAAGACCAGCTGGCCTTTGGCTGTGGGAGCTGGCTGGAGAGGCCCATGGCTTTGCCCTCCCATGGCTCCTGGCCCACAGAAAGGTTCTTGCTAGTGCCCACAGGCCAGGCACCCACCTGCTAGTGGAAAGGGCAAAGGGTGGGGCTGGTAGTGGGAAAAATGCTCCCCTGGAGACGTGTACAAACAGCTCCACTGGCTGTCTGCAGGTGTACCTGTGCCATGCAAACGTCTGCTCCCTGCCCCCTCTTACCTGAACATCTCCGTCACTTCTCCCTTGGCCAGTGCCACCAGGACGGGAAAGCCGATGCAGGCGGGGACCAGGTACAAGAGGGCAGGCTGTAAGAGGACACAGGGTAGTGAGGCAATGCTGGGCAGGAAACCTGCTAGGGGCCATGCCCATCATTCCACCCTTTCCAGGGCATGACAGGGACAGCTACTGCCCAGGTTCACAGAGCGAGTCAGTGGCTGGGCCTGAATCTGGGGCTCCTGACTCCCAGACCAGGGCTGTTCCTCCCTGGAAAAGAAGGCAAGAAACCTAAAGAAACTCAAGTATGCAGGGCTTTAAGGATGCCCAAGAGTCTGGCTGGCAGCATCCTATCAGCTAGGACATTAGGTTCAAACTTGTACCTCCTGGGCCAGTCCTATTTCTAGAGACCCTCCTTCTCTAGGTCTGGGCTGGAAGTTTGCTTTAAAAAACAAACAAACAAACAAACAAACAAACAAACAAACAAACAAACCCACCCACCCAAAACCTCACCTGAGGATATATTTTTATTGGTTTTAGACAGAAATGAAGGAAGAGGATGAGAGACAGAAACAAGGATGTGAGAAACATTGATCAGTTGCCTCCCATATGTACCCTGACTGCGAATTGAACCCACAATCTGGGTACGTGCCCTGACCAGGAATTGAACCTGCGACCCTTCGATGCATGGGGCAATGCCCCAATCTAATGAGCCACATTGGCCAAGGCCTAAGAAGTTTGCATTTTTAACAAATGTTCCAGGAGATGCTGCTACAATAATATGATGATGATGACATAACGGCTGCGGGTGGAGCACCTGCTGTGGCTGGTACTGAGGACACCCAGCTGATCACTGGCTCAGCCAGGATTCCCACCCTGGTGGTCTGGGCCCACAGCCTGTGCTGAGGCCAGGCAAACCTGGGTTTGGAGGATGGCAGTTATCCTAAGGGCCCTTGTTCATGGAGCACCTACTGTGCACACTGAGCTCAGGCCTCCCAGGGGGTGCTTCAGTCCATCTCCACATCCCCTGTGAGTATCCTCCTTGTGCACAGAAGGCTGGTGCTTTGGGAGGAGGGGACAGCCCAGGCCTCAGAGGTCTGAAAGGCAAACTGGGTATTAAATCTTGGGCATACTAGACTCTAAAGCCATTCTTTTCCTTGCAGCCTCGGGAAGCCGGATGTCACTCTACTGTTCAACTCTCCGTGGCCCTCTATGCTCCCAGCAGCCTGAGGCCCCCATGAAGCCTCCTCCTGACCTGCCCTACTCTGGTCACACTGGCCTCATTTCAGTCCTCATTGTCACCTTCGGCCTCAGGACCTCTGCCTGATGAAGTTCCCCTTTGCCTCGACCTCTCCTTCAGAGCTCAGCTCGGCCATACTTCCACGGGGAAGCCTTCACTTGCATGGCCAGGGCCCCTGAAATTCTTCACAGCATTCTCTGACAATTTGAACAGAACGCCCTACGCCATTACAGACTGGCGTCACAGCTGTCTTGTTCACAGCTGGATTCCTGGCACTCAGAAGAGGGCCTGGCAAATACTAAGCAAATGGTGTCTTCCTGGGTGCTCGCAGAGTTAAAAGGGTGTCTTGAAGATGACTGGGTGAGGAGACATCATCCCTGGCAGGAAACAGGGCTCCACAATCCCTTGAGTCTGACCTTCAGATCATTTTTTGGCAACCACCATGAGCGGGCTGTGAACTACCCACTTCACATTACATTACCCCTGAATCTAATAACACTGTAAATACTAGAATCTGAGGTTTTTTTAAAAAAAATCCTCACCTGAGGACATTTTTCCATTTTTTGTTCAGATAGAGTGGGAGGGAGTGCGAGGGTGAGAGGGAGAGCAAGGGAAGGAGGGAGGGGGGGGGAGAGAGAGAGGGAGAGAGAGAAACCGATGTGAAAGGGACACATCGAGTGGCTGCTACCCGCACGACCAATCAGGGCCTGAGACAAACTGCAACCAAGGTATGTGCCCTTAGCGGGAACTGAACCCGGGTCTCTCTGGACCGCAGGCCGACGCTCTAACTGCTGAGCCAAACCGACTAGGCTAGGATCTGAGTTTATAGACGATGCTACCGAGGTTCAAACGGGGTGATGACTTGCCCAAGGTAACACAAGGTGTCTGTAAGTGGTTGAGCTTGGATTTGAACCTGGGCAGCTGAGCTTCTCCCATGGCATCAGGTCTCTGCTATGAAGTAGGCTTTGGGCCAAGAGTAACAGAAACCACAATGACAAAGGACTGCAGCGGAACCTGTGAGAGGCAGTCAAAGCAGTACTCAGAGCCAACGAGAGGGGCTCCTTTGGGAGGTAGTGAGTTCGTAATTATCAGGAGGACATGAGCCTACTGGTTTTTCCTCTCAGGGCACCAGGGAACCTCTCCAAAGAAAGTCAGTGCTAAAAGAGAGGCTGGGATGTACAACTTGGGGAGGTGAGCAGGGGGTTTGGACTCCCGGTTTTTCACTACACCTTGGCTTTGCTGTGTGACCACAGCTAAACCACTCCCCCAACCCCCTCTGTACAATGAGGTTACCTGATCGTCTCTCAGGGCCTTTCTAGAAGGCTTCTAGACCCCTGGCTTAGAGTGGCTTTTCGATAGAGGCTCAGTGGGTTGACGACTGCATATGCAGAGGACAACCCTACCTAGGGAACTGCTGCTATTGGGACTGCCTGTGACTTGAAGAGAGAGTGAGACCTCACTGAACAGGCTCCCCTTGCCCCTATGTTCAGGGAGATGCCCACATGGACGACTAGGGAGAATGGCTGGGCTGCTGCTGGGGAGTAGTACAGGCCTGGGCCTAGGGGACAAAAGTCCAGGGTTCCAGCTGGGGCCCAGCTTGACTTGCTGTGTAACCCTGGAAAGTCTCCTTTTCTGTCTGGGCCACAGTGTCCCCCACCTCTCCTGCTTTTGCACAGCTGTGTGAGAGCTCCCAATGGAATCTCTGTGGGATCTAGCCAAGGCAGAAGGCAAGCCTGCCACCTGGTGGCCGATGGGGAAATGGCTCTGGGCTTGGAATGGCTGAGAGTTGGAGTTGTCTGAGCTCCTTTCCCAATCCAGGTTCAATCATTCTCTGCAACGTCCTTGCCAGGTGTAGGTCACTCTCAGCTTGCACAGACCCGAGGCTGTTTAGAGCAGAAGAGAAGGAGAGATGGCTCCCCTACGGGGTAGAGGACCTTGGTACTTCTGAAAAATTATACTGGGATCCACCCCATACACAGTGTAGATATGTAAATACTATACAGACTAAACAAGTGAAAGCAAAAAGGTTTAGCACAGTGACTGGCACAGAGTAACTGGTCAACAAACAGCTCCTGTGATTAATTTGAAGGTGGCTCCTCTATGGCTGGTGCCCTGGGGCTGGGGAACAGCAACAATGACTGAATAATACTGCTTGGGCCATGCATGATTCTGAGCATTTTACTTATATTAACTCATTTCATCCTCAAGCAATTCCAAGGTGGCTACTATTGTTTACCCTCATTTTCTGTTTTTATCCATCCATGAGAAAAATCAAGCATAAGTTCAGCATCCTGCCCAGAGTCCCACAACTAGCATATGGCAGGGTCTGGCTTCCCTTAGCCTCCTTTGCACACTGCCTCTCCAAGTCGGGCTTCAGAGTCTGGCTTGTTTCCCTGTGACACAGGCTTGAATCTCGGCTCCACCCCATACTTGCCATCTGGCACCTGAACTCCAGTTCCCTCACCTGTTCACAATGACCCCCTTTAAGTACTGAGCAGAGCCTGGCTCACAGAAGTGCTCTTTTTTCCAGGGAAGAGGAATTCTGTCTGCCTGCTTTGTCCTCTGTCTTCCCGTCTTCAGGTCACACCGACAGTGGCTCCAGCCCCACCCCACCCTGGTTCACTCTGTGGCAATTCAGTACCATCTCGGTGGGACAGGAGGCAGAGCCTGGCCAGCTGGGGGGTGGGGGAGGGGACCCTAATGTCTTATCTCGTCTGGCAGGGTGGGCAATGGGCTGACACACCCACCCTCCACCCCAACCCCATTCTTCTGAGCCCACCCTTCTTCCCTCCACTGAGGCTGGGAAGTCACTTCCACTCTTTCTTAGACTCCCTGCAAGCTGGGGCCATGAGATGTGGGCAAAAATCTGGTAAGACGGTTCTGGGAAGGGGTTTGCCCTTCTTGCCATTAATGTGTGTGCTGCCCAAAGCAGAGGCAGTCATCTTGCAACAACCACGAGTGAAAGGCCGAGAGAATCAGACATGCTTGCTCTGACACCACTGGGGACTGCCTACCTCTGTAGGTGACAACCACACCCTGTGACGCCTGTTGCCGCAGGGAAGCGTCTCCGACACACCGAGGGCGGCCCACTCACCTGGGCATGCTTAAAGATGTGCATGATGAAGATGGTGAGGCCCAGGCCGAAGATGTAGGCCGCGAAGCTGGTGTAGAAGTAGGTGTGGGTATTCTTCTTCAAGCTTCGGGAAGGGATGGGGAGAAAGAGGGCCGGTTAGATGCAGGCATCCTTCTGAGGGGAGCTGGGAAGACCCTGGAGGCTGTGGGCTGGCTGAGAGCTCTGGGCTGGGAGAGCCCACAGGTGGGCACACATTCTGGACCTGCCCCACCTATGTGTCTTTGGACAAGTCACTTTCCTTCTTTCAGCCTCAATTTACTCATCTGCAAAATGGGGAAATCACAATCTCCCCAGTGGTTGTGAGTATCAAATGCTATAACCTCAAATAGTGGCTTAAGATTCCAGCTAGCACAAAAATCACCCAGAAAGCTTTCAAAACACTACAGAGTTCGCCCAGCTGGTGTGGCTCAGTGGTTGAGCTTGGACCCACGAAGCAAGAGGTCACTGGTTCGATTCCAGGTCAGGGCACAGCCTAGGCTGCAGGCTCGATCCCCAGTAGGGGCATGCAGGAGGCGGCGATCGATGTTTCCCTCTAATTGATGCTTTCTTCCTCTCCCTTTCTCTCTCTCTAAAAACCAATAAAAACGTTAAACAACAACAACAAGAAAAATCTATGGAGTTCTAGGCTCAATTCCCAGGGAGTCTGATCTAACAGGTCTGGGGCAAGGTCCAGGAACCTGCATTTTGAAAAACCCAGGGGATCGGATACAGGTGGACCGTGCTTTTAGAGAAACTGTACAGCTAAGTTATTACTTTTAGGTGCAGTGCACACACAATGTAGTAATCTGTTGTGTATAATGACTAGATGCTGACTACAAGGATAAAATGCCAGTGACTTCCTGGAGGTGATTTATCCAAGATCGGCCCCAGAACAGCTGAGTGACACGCAGCCCAGCACTGCCATTACATGACTTTCCTTCACAGGCCAGCTCATGGCCTCTGGGTGTCCCCAACACCTGGGCAATGCCTAGCAACATTATCTGTGAAATGAACGAGTACTTCTGAGCCCCTCTCTCCTTGCCCTGGCTGCTTCTAAGCCTTGAGCTGCAAGTACATTGAGAACCACTTTGTTATGAAGCCTGGGGTGCAGCTGACTCCCCTTTGGGAGTGTTGCACAAATTCTGGAACCAGCTCTAAAGGGCTTGCTTATTCTGCAAGAGATTCTGCTTCTGAGGATGCTGATAGCTGAACACGTGTCTCCAACAAACAGTCTGGGGACTCTTGTGGGTTCCTCTGTGTCACCTCTGAATAGCCAAGAGTAGAGCTGGCTGGCACAGATGTGCCGCAGCTTACAAACTGGCCAGGCCCCTTCCAAAGGCTGTCTGTAAGTCTGTGTGTTCATGAGGCGCAGAGTGGCACACAAACAGCCCAGACGTGTGCGATGGAGAAAGGTTAAGTTTCACATGCAAACTGGATTTCAATGATGCTGGTACTGAGTTTCTCATTACCACTGTCAACACAATTATTGCTTTTGCAATTATTGGGCATGAGGAAATGAAGAAAAGTTCATAAACCACCTCAAAATTAAGGGCACACACAGCAAGCCCTCCACTGGGGTGACTGAATGCCACCTGCTGGCAGCAGGCCCAGCTGCCCAGGTGCATTATTAACTCAAGGGCGACCTTTCCTGTGTTTTAACTGGTGACCCAAGCTGGCCCCTTCCTCTCCCCCTTGTGCTCACTTTCTACAATGGACTGAAAAAAGTCTAAGTAAGGAGAGGGCGGGGAACAGCTAAAGCAGCTGGGCCATGGTGACCTGCCCCCAGGCTGATAAAAACGATAATGACAATGACTGCAGCTGGATTTTCCTGGGAGCTACCGAGGTCAGCCTGTGCTCCGCATTCTCCAGACCTGCATGCTAACCCTGAGGAAGGAACTCTTATTCACCACTAATGTAATGATGAAAAATCTTACCTTGAAAAGGTCAGGTCACTTGCCAAGGTCATAGAGGGAGAAAGTACTATGGTTTTAATCCCTCTGGGTTTAAATCCTCTGGCCTGTGATTCTTATCTTTTTTTTTAGTCACAGACTCTTTTAACACTTAGAACCGCAAAATGCAGATAAAATCAGAATTGCTCTGGCTGCTGTGGGGGTGGAGGTTCTGGTCCCCTGAGGTACCTCCTCTGGGCTCCTGAAGGCCCTTGCAGAGCCCCTGCTAGGGGAAGGCCCCTCACTCATGGGCCTGAGAGCTGGGGTTCCTAAGCAGCTTACCTGATATCAAAACGCAGCAGCAAGGCAATGAAGATTCCTGGGGGGAGAAAGCCAGGGTTAGACAGTGGCGGGAAGCCAGCACCTTTGGAGATGTAGCCCGACTGGGCCAGGGAAGAACTAACACACAACTGGTTCCCCAACCTGGTGTTCCCAGTGGTGGAGCAATCACTGAGGCCAAGGGGGGGGGGGGCAACACTGCCAGCTGCCAGCAGAAACCCTGTCTCCCTACCATCACGCCACCTAGAACCATGAGAAGGTCCCAGGGTTTTGCTTTGGCCTGGGACCACATTGATCTGGCCCCTCCAAGCACACCGTACTGTCACACTGGCTCCATCTACCCAAACGTGTGTCAAGGGCTGCTAGTACCAGGCACCACAGGCAACCTAGGGGTAAGCAAAACCTTGTTTTCACAGAGCTCAGCCAAGGGGGGAAGGGGTACACATGTCACTCAAACAGAACCGAAGTCAGCGTGAGGGTACCACTGTGAGAAGATGTTTCCTGCGTCATGGGAAGGTGTATCATCATGGCAAGGTGTATTGGGTTGAGACCCAGGCTGAGGGGAAGGAGGGCTGGCTGCTGACCCTTGCCAGGGAAAGGGAACAGCATGTGCAAAGATCCTGAGGAAAGAAGGCTCAGAGGATGTGGCAGGGGGCAAGGAGAGCCAGCAAGGTTGTAGCCCAGAACAGGAGATGCAGGGGACAGACCAGCCATGCAGGGTCCACAGGGCAGGAGGAGGAGCTGGGTCTCTATTCTGGAAGAGTTCTAAGCAGGAAACTAAACATACTGTGAAAAAGACCCCTGTGGTGGCTGCAGAAAGAGCAGGAGTAAGCAGAACATGAGGAGGTTCTGTGGGAATGCAGGAGAGGATGGTTAGCTCTGGCTGTCCATTCACTGTACTCCTATTCACACTTCAAAACCCAGCCCAGACATGCTGAAGCCTAAGAGTCCCCAAGACACACGCTCCAGCCTCTGTATGTTGCACACACACCACACCAGTCTGTGTCTGTCTCTCTGGCTAGTCTTTGGGCTCAGACAGGGCAAGGGTTAAATCTCATTTAGTTGAGAGCAAGCTCTCAGGAACAAAAACATTCTTTGCTGATCAGAAGCCCTGAATAGCAACAAATGCTTAATTTTGAAAAGGGAAACGAGTTAGTCCTCACTGGGCTGTGAGTAGGGAGTTGGTGGGTGCAGAAACAAATGCTGCCTTTCTGGAAACAAAGTGAGGAACTCAGTGCCCCCTGGTGGCTGAATTCTGCAACTGTTCTCCAACTGATCAGGGGTCAGAGCTCTGCCAAGAGCTTTCACTGTCCCTAAGGCATCTGGTCTTCACAAGACAGCAACCCGGTCAATGTCACCAGGGCTCTGCGAGGGCGCAGTCAACTTCTGTTTGGTGTGACTGCTGAAAGACTTTGATGTGTGTAGGCACATACAGAAACACAGAGACGCCCCTCCCGGGCAGGCCTCCAGCCCAGGCTGTAACCAAGGGCACTGGGGAAGTTGGGTGGGTGCCTGTCGTGCTGCACTGACTAAATGCTTTACGGGACTTAGTTTCTTCTGTCTAATGGAGCTGCCTCTTCCTGAGGGTGTGTCTCCCTGCCTCACAGCACTGCTCCTTATGGAAACACCTGGGTTCAAGCCCACACCCCCTTACACTCCCAATGCTATAGGCAAGTCTCTTTGAACTCAGTTTCTTCATTTGTAAAATGGAAACACCCCTGCTTCACCAGGCTGCTGTGAGTAGCAAAGGCAACACATAAAAAGCACTGAGCACAGTGCTTGACAAGTGGCAGCTGCGGTGGTCTTACTGTTGTCAAGGCTGTTTAGGAGCAGTGACAGGGCCCTATTTGTGCAGACAGACTTGCACTCAGTCCGGGCGCTGTTGCTTACTAGTGTGTGAAGTCAGGAAGTCCCCTCACTTCTGAGTCTCAGTTTCCTCACCGGCATGACAGAGAAAGCCTGTTTCACCGCCAAATGTATCACAAAATGTAAGTATTACAACAGAAGTGCCTGTACCATCCTGGGTCACTAGCATCGCTATTACTTCCTGCAGTGGAAAATAAATTGGCTTTTAATTTGTTGCAAACTTTTCTTCTTTTAAGCAAGCACCGGGGAACTTCTAACTCTGCGGACTGGGGGGACAAGTATGCCCTTTGGCTGTTCACTGTCCTTCACCAGGCTCAGATCTGTAGACATGCACGTCCAGACCTCAGCCCCTGTCACTGCCCTGAGAGGGGCTGCTCAGCTTTGCCCTTCATCTCTTGACTGGTTGTTTAGGCTGCTGGTGCCCCAGGGCAAGGCAAGGAAGTCTTCCCCAGAGATGTGTGCCCACGATTGGCCTGCAGACATGGGCACCTGTGCCCATTCACAAGTGCACGGGCAGCACCGACATGCAGATAACAGGTCCCAGGGCCAGCTCGTGCAGACAAGCAGGGTGTGCACCCATCTCTCAGCCGAGTGCAGACACAGGAGCCCACACCACGGTGCCCCCTGTTCTCCCTGGAGCCCTCCAGCTCTGGGAGAGGGGGACCAAAGGGGCTCTGGCAGTTCCAGCGCATCTGTAAACATTGGCGAGGGTGTGTGAGAGGGGTCAGGTTCTTTCAAGACTGTCATGAAACATGTTTTTTTTTTTAGTGTATTTCAGTCTGTCGTACACCTATTTTTGTTCTTGAGTAGTGTGTTCACCAGGCCAGAAACTCTGTGGACACCCTTGCTCACTGCTGTTCCTCCAGTGGCCAGCCCGGGGCCTGGCACATGACTGGTGCGCTCTCATGTGAGTTGAGGTGGATTCCTTCACCAAACCCTGGGCTGAGTCAGGGGCGGGGATGTGGAATCCTCTTTCTCCTCCCCCTCCCGCCTGGGTAAGGCTGCCTGTTTCACAGTATTCCTCCTTGATCCAGGGATGACTAGCCCACTCCAGCCCGGTCACCTGGAATGACGATATCGCCGAGTCCCAGCATGGCAAAGTTGTCTGCTTCGAGGCCCTTCTCCAGCAGATCCTGGGGAAACACCACTGCAGGGGGAGGCAGGGAGGTGAGGGGTTGCTGACAGCCTAGCTCACTCTGACACCTGGCCCCCACCTCTGTGGTAGGAAACTCACACTCCTGCATTTCTGGGTGGGGGGATGGAGACGAGGCAAGAGGATGCTGACAGGCTGGAGGGCAATGTTTCCATCTGAAACTACAGCGGGTTAGAGCAGGGAAGGCCCTAGGATCATCTAGGTCAAACAAAGGCTTACTGCCATTATGGAGCTATATAGCAACGGCACACTTTGGTTAAGGATGGACCCTACAGCCAAGCAGACAAAAGGGATGAAAGAGCCTGCACAGTGCTGACATCTGATAGGTTTTCCGTCTCACTAATACAGGGTATGGCAGGCAAGGGTTTTTGTTCTAAAGCAGGGGGAGCCTAGGCAATAGGCCCTTTCTGTATCTGCTGAGGTTGCTTAAAGCCTCTCACTCAGAAATCCCGCTGGTGGGCTTGCTTGGATACATACAGATAGAGGAAATGCCTCTGTCTGTGTCCAGTTATGGCTAGAGGTGTCTGTAACTAGATTTCATCCTCTGGGCCTTGAGAGCAGAAGCGCAGTTAGGCGTGGGCTTCGGGGTCGGAATCCTGGCTCTGATGTGTGACTTTGCACAGGTTGCTTAACCGCTCTGAACCTTAGTGTTCTCACCTGTGAAATGGGTATGACAACAGAGCTGAGCCCATAGTGTTGAGGTGCAAATGAGATGCTTGGCAAATTGTTAACTGCTACCTCATGCCTTCTTCACTAACCCAGTCCTGATTTTGTGTGGGCAGCCTTTCCAGGGGATGGATCAAATGTGCTGTAAGGCTAAGACAATCAGGACAACCCTGGTCCCTGAATTCCCAATTTCCCTTGCTGCTGAGGGTGGTCATGACCCAGCTCTGGCCAATGGTCCGCAGGCAGAGGCACGCTGGGGGTTGTGGGTAAGCTTGTGCTTCCCTAATAAACGTATAGATGCCCTTCCCTCCCTGCTGACTTCTTCCTGCTTTGACTGCACAGTCACAACGATTTACAGATCTCCTCATTCAACACTCTCAGTCTTGGCAGACGTGGAAACCAGGGCCCAGAGAGAAGTCTCTTTCCTAAGGCTGCATCGCCAGCAAGTGTCAGATCTGGGATTCAAGTCCAGGCAGCCTGACTTCGGCATATGTGCCTCTACCACTGTGCCTCTGAGCTCTACTGGCAGCGGGGGAACCGGCCTTCTCTGCTAGCCAGAAACCAGATTCTAAGCCTCAGAAACCGAATACGACGGTGTCGTTCCCCGTTTGGAGCCTTTCACTGGCATGCTATCCTTGGCTACCCCAAATCTGGCCTCTTTCCTGCTGCTCCCCTAAACTCAGTCACACTCCCTCCCCGAGTCTCTGCTTCTAGGGCCCTCCATGCAGTTTCGTCTCCAGCCCTTTGCTGAAGCTGGACTCATCCTACCTGCAAAGGCCCACACTGCCCCTGCATGTTTGGTAAATGTGTATTCATCCTTCATGACTCAGGGAAGCTTTTCCTGACTCTTTGGCTGGGTTCACCCATCAAAGCACGTGGGGAATTCCTGTTGTTCTGGCTTGCCTAGCATCTGGTCTCTCGCTCTGGGGACTGTCCTCACCTGACGCATTTGGTTCTGGGAGGTTGCTAATTCAAATACTGTGCCTCCAGGCACTGGGGAGAGCAGTGACTCAGGCCTGTCCATGCTGATCCTCCATCTCCCCGGTGGGAATGCCCGCCTTATGAGCCAGGGCAGGCCCCAGACATTTACTTAAGCCAAAGCTAGGAGAAACTTGCTTTCCTCTGGAGTCACTGAGCTGCGACCATGGCCTTTAGGAGCCGAATGTGCCAGGGGCCCCTCTCCAGCTCATGGAGAAGCCCCATCTGTAGGGGTGGAGAATGAGGCTGTGAGAAAGACAGCTATTAATGACTCTCCAAGGCCAACTCCACGCCGACTGCTGTGGACCAGCTTCGCACGGAGCCCACCACTGCTCGTGCCTCCCCCAAGCGGCCCCCCTTCGTCCCTGCTCTCATGCCTGTGTGGGGCAGCCTCTAATTTGGGTCTTCTGACCCCAGGAGGTGACTTTTAAGTAGTCTAAGGCTTAAACTCTAAGCTAATCATGCTTTCTCCCACCTCCCTTGCTGATGGCTGGTTTGGATTTGGGCCTGTGACCCAATTCTGGCCAGTGAAATATGAGGGAGGCTACAGGGGGGATGTGAGGAAAAACGTCCCTCTTTGGTGAGAGAGCCAGAGTTCCCCTTTCTGCCTTTGGATGTGGCTGTGAGGACTCGACACTGGGAACTGGCAGCCACCTTGGAACCACGAAGGGATGAGCATATGGGACAGGCGGGCATGCTGAGAATGCCGGGGTGGGAGAAATGAAGTTACCTGGGCTCTTGGCGACTCCATGGAGGGTCATGAACCAACCTGAGACTCTCTACCACTGGGCTTGCTATCGTGTGCAATAACAACATTTCCCCGTTGTTTAAAGATGCTTGTAGCTGGTTTTTTACTATTTATAAACAATGGATAGACTGAAGAACAACCAGGGCAGTGTGAGTTATGTGGGACAGATGGTGCCTAATAGCTGGGCGCTGAAGGGACCCCAGGAGGGAGCTTCAGGTCTCTTCTAGCGAGCCCTGCATGACCTGCCGCAGGTGGTGAGATACCCCCGCTATGCTTGCTCCCATTCCAGCTCACCCCATAGCACACTGCACTGTGACCAAGTGTCTTAGAGGCCAGGACTTGGGCAGAGGGTGGCTGGGTGTGAACACCACCAGATGTACCAGTGAGGACAAGGAAAGCAGGCTGGAGACACAGCAGAGCTTGAAGGAGGACCAGGTGAACAGGGAAGAGCTAAGGAACACGTGTGACCAAACAGGGATAACAAGAGGAAGGGCCACAGGGGTGGGGGCAGGGGGCTCCCCACGTGCGGGTGGTTGCTTACATTTTATTGGTGCCTCAAAGGACCTGGCCACTGTCACCATCACGTTGGTACCAAATACCTAGAAGGAGAAGAGAGGAGTGTGGAAGGGGTGGAGGCTGAGATCTGCCGGGAGAGGGCAGGGAGCAGGAGGGGCTCCGAGCACAGGTGAGTCGAGAGCAGGTGGCTACCAACACTGGTCATATGGACATTTTATGGGGCTCCTGGTTCCAGGCAACAAAAAGGGGTACATCAAGGAGTCAGAAAAGGGCTCTGAGGGCCCCGGCCAGGCATCCTATGTTTGTCCAGGGTTCTGCCCCTTCCAAGAGATGCCCCTCCAGTATCATCCCTTCAAAAGGAGAAGAGGCTGCCTGAGGTTAGAGAAAGGGGACTTGCGTCAGGCTGACCACGATCTTGGCATGAGTGTGGCAGGTCCCCCAGCCCAGGGCTGTGCACAGCCAGAGCGTGCAGTCAGCAGCAGCCTCTGTCTTCACAGCTCAGTGCCCGTGCCGGGCTCATTAATCAGCATTCACTACCCCTGCCAGGGCCACCATGAGGACAAGATGAGGGTGGCTGAAGGCAACAGGTACAGGGTGGGTTCCAGGCATCAGAAGGCCTGCTCTCCCTTCCGTTTCCTGGATGAGGGCAATGGAGCCCAGAGAGGACCTTCTCTGGGACCTTGACTCCCAGGCCACGGCTGCTGCCCTCTGTCAGATGATGGCTGCCCGGGCCAGAGAAAGGGTGTAGGAAGAGACTCACCCAGAAGACGTCGTAGATGAAGAGGCCGCCCAGCAGGATGCAGCCGGTGCTGACGTTGTTCAGGTGCAGAAGCTCTACCCCGTTCAGGGAGAAGGCCAGGCCGAAGAGGTTGTTGGCAATCCAGTGCTGGGGGAGGTGGGAGTGAGATCAACTTGCTGTGCTTCCCCTGCCCCCCACGAACCTCATTTCAGGCTCTGGCTACTCACCTTCCTCAGCAGGTACCAGACGCCAACGATGCTGCTCAGGCCCAGGCACACCAGGTCCTTGGTGTCAAACTCATAATTGATGATTTCTGGGCAGAGAGGCCAGGTAAGTCCACTCCCCGGGGCGGGGCTGCCCCTCCCACCTGTCAGCCCCTGGACGGAGGAGGGCATGGCTGTGGGCACTGACAGAGGCTCACAGGCTGAGAGTGCTCAAGGGAGCCACCCCCAGCCTCTCCATTTTCCTGGAGGAGGGAATGGAGGCTCAGAGAGAACACAGGCCAGGCCTGGTGCGGGGTCAGTGGGAAGTGGCTGGAAGCATGGGTCCTACACTTGTAGGTGGATGACCCTGGGGGAGACAGTTCCCTCTCTGAGCTTCAGTTTCCTTATCTGTAAAATGAGGATCACATCACCTCCCTGATAGGCTGCTGTGGGGAGCAAGTGACATGGTCCTTAGGCAGCACCAGCACAATGCCGGCACACAGTAGGCATTCAATCAGCGCCAGCACAATGCCGGCACACAGTAGGCATTCAATCAGCGCCAGCACAATGCCGGCACACAGTAGGGATTCAATCAGTGCCAGCACAATGCTGGCACACAGTAGGGATTCAATCAGTGCCAGCTGCCACTGAGCCCAGATCTTTAGCAAGGTCCCAGCTCTTTCGGGAATCTTTCTGTTTTGCCACCAAAAGAATCAAGAAGGTTGCTGGTGGCCCCATGTCACGAGCAGAGGAGGAAGGTAAGAGATGGTAGCTTGGAGAAGAAGCAGGGGGCAGTCCCTGCGTCAGCTCCTGTGGGGAGCCGTGTGGTAGAGGCCAGTCTCCATCACTTCCAAGTTTCCTAAGAAGGGAGCCCAGAGAGAGGTGGAGCTTGCCCAGGACCACAGAGCAGCCAATTCTTTCAGTTCCGGGGTGTAAGCAGACTGCTGGTTGGCCCGAATTTCCGTTCTTTCCTCTGTGTAACAGCACCTTGCTTTTTTATCTGGACATGAGGCAAACTAGCTCATGGCCACAGTTTCCAGCTTCCCCTGCTGCTAAATGGGACTGTGATAGAGCTGTCTCTCCTTCTGTCTGGTGAGACAGTGGAGTGCCGGGGCACCATCCCAGACCCAAGGGCCACTGCGTGGGGCAGAGCAAGAGATAGGTGGAGCCTGGGACCCTGAAGACTCCATGGTGTAAACTTAGCCTTAAAAAAAATAAAATCCAACAATCATTTATTGGGTAGAGATGCACTAGAGTTGCAAAAGAGAATCACATAAAATCGCTGCTCCCTCCTCCAGGAATGGCTCAGTGGTTGAGCGTCGATCCATGCACCAAGAGGTCACTGGTTCGATTCCTGGTCAGGGCACATGCCCAGGTTGTGGGCCTAATCCCCAGTGGGGGGCATGCAGGAGGCGGCCAATCGATGTTCTCTCTCATCAATGTTTCTCTCTCTCCCTCCTTCTCTCTGGAATCAATAAAGAAAAATAAACAAATAAATAAATACATAAAATTGCTGCTCCTTAGGGACAGGGACAAGGCAGAATGTGCTGGGCCCCAATAAGACCGTGTGACATTCTCAAGCTCAGACTTTCACATGAGAAACACCTTCCATTTGGTAAAGCCACTGATAATCCTGTTACAACATTTGAACCTATTTTCTTTTTTTTTTTTTTGTTTTGTTTTGTTTTTTAATCCTCACCCGAGGACATTTTTCCATTTTTTGTTCAGATAGAGCGGGAGGGAGAGAGAGAGAAACATCGATGTGAAGGGACACATCAAGTGGCTGCCACCCGCACGACCAACCAGGGCCGGGGACAAACTGCAACCAAGGTATGTGCCCTTAGCGGGAACCGAACCCGGGTCTCTCTGTACCGCAGGCCGACGCTCCAACCGCTGAGCCAAACCGGCCAGGGCTGAACCTATTTTCTTAACTAATCCAGGCTTTCCCCAATTCCCTGTAGTTTTCACATTTTAAAAACCCAGGGAACCTCCCTTTCAAATCTAAGGTGGGAAAGAATCGTACTAAAAACAGCATGATAAACACAGCTATGGCTATGACTTTTACTGAGTGTACGACACACAGGCAGTGTGCTGAATGCTTTCTACTCAGCACCCACTCGTGTCCTAACAACAAGCCTATGAGGGAGCTACCAGATCATCACTTTTATTTTACAGAAGGAAAAAAACCCCAACAAAAACACCCAATGCTCAGAGAGGTAAAGGCGCTCACCCGGAGTCCCCCCTGCAGGCAGTGGCAGAGCTGGGATGTGAGCCCAGACAGTGTGCCCCGAGTCCACCTTCTCCATCACTTGTTCTACCTAACGCCCCAACATTGGAGAGACAAAGGGGAGTGGAGGAGGAAGACACCCGAGGCAGGGGAAAGTGGGCAGCACTGACCTTCTTTGTTTTCCCCAGAGCCCTGCGTGAAGAGCAGCTGGTACTGTCGATTTGGGAAGTTGGCTGGAAAAAACTTACTCATGAAGGGGCTAGAAGAAAAGACAAAGCAGATTGGCAAACAGAGCCCCTAGGCATCCACAGCCCCAACAACCCCACAAAGCCCCCATTCCCAGCTGTGATCTCCAGCAGCCTCACAGCTGTCCTGAGAGGCAGGTGTCCTGTGCCCACTTTACACATATGGAAACAGAGGCCCTCAGAGGGCAAGTGACTGCCCAGGGTCACCCAGAGAGTCAGCATCTGGGCTGAGACGCAAACCTTGGGCCCTGGACTCTAGTGCTTCCATACTGCCTCTCGGTTATCACCCAAGAAACACAAAGAGGCAGACTTTCACATAAAACACAGTTTTTAGGAGAGCAATGGATTCCAAAGCCTGGTCCATGAACTGTCTGCAGTCTCTCCTCATGAATGCATATTCCTGGACTCCTTTCCCAACCTGCTAAGTTAGATGACTTGATGGTCACCTCACTCCCTTGACTTGTGAGGCCTGAGATTTTTACAAACTCATTGGACCAACTGATGTGTCTCTATCACATCGATGTTTCTCTCTCTCTCTCCCTCTCTCCCTCTCCCTCCCCCTCTCTCCTTTCCACTCTATCTAAAAATCAATGGAAAAATATCCTCAGGTGAGGATTAAAAAACAAACAAACAAAAACCCAAACTTGTTGGACTTGATCAGCCAGATGAATCACACAGCCCCTAGGGCAGAAATACCCTCACATTAACTCCAGGATGGGTTTGGCCTCTTCTCTTGTTACCCAGCATACTCTGCTTCCTGGCCAGGCAGGGAACAGAGACTTTCTTTTCTGGATCACCTACAGAGCAAGATTAGCATATCAGGCCTCTTGGCCCAGCCTGGAGTGGCTACAAGCTTGCGTGGCCCAGCCCTGAAGCCTAATCTACCCTCACCAGCTGTGTGGCCCTGGGTGAGCCACTTTGGTGGCTCATCCCCTCAGCTGAGTGGGGGATACTACCACCTGTCTCAGGTGTTGCTGTGGAGACCGGAGAGAGGGCAGAGGAGAAGCTAGTCCAGCAGTGGATCCATAGCAGGGACGTAAGAAGTGAGCATTCCTCATCACTGGAGCTTGTCCAGAGCCTGAGCTCGAAAGCATCGGCCAATGCCAGATAGATCGACATGACTAATGAGGTGGGCAAATCCAGAACGGTGTTCCCAATGACAGGCAAATGGAGGCAGGCCAAGAAGTAGCCAGGGCACAGTGGTAAAGGCAGGGGAAGGGAGCCCTCTTCCTAAGAGCCTGGGACTTAAAGAAGATGTGGAGTTAAGAAGGATCTCTGGGCTCAGTTTCCCCACTTGTCAAATAGGCAATCCCTCCCATTCTGCAAGGCTGTGGCATGATGAGACGTGGCAGGCCCAAGGATGCAATCGGGAGCTGGCTTCCCTAGCAGGCTCTGCGGAGGTGGGAGGAGGAAGCTGGGATGAGTGAGACTGGAAGTTACTTTCAGCTCAGTCTGCTGAATCACTTTTGGGAAAGTCTGAAGCCAGTGTGTGTGCAGAGGCACAGAGAAGGCCTAGAAATTAAGCCCTTCACTCCAGTCTGGCCTCTTCCTTAGAAGCTTGATACTTGGCTTCTCAATCAGTAGAGTGAAGTGATTAAGAACAGGGACTCTGGAGGCAGACTTCCTGTGTCCAACTCCGGGCTCTGCCACTTATTAGCTGTGTGACCTTGGGGAAGTTACTTAACTGTTCTGTGCAATGGTTTCCTTCATAGTCTTAAAAGGATTAAATGAATGCTTGGAGCCCTACAAGCTTAACTGCAGTTTCAACCTCAAGTAGGAAGTCTTTACACTGATGTTGTTATCCCAAGAAAAGAGGGGCTGCTGGGTAACACAGGGCAAGAGTTAAGCAACCTGTCTGGTGTGAGTCTGAACTTAAGGGCAGGGGTCTTGTCTCTTCACCTTCACCCTACCCATACGAGGCCTGGTGCTGGGAGGCTGCTGGCAGAAGCTTGCTTAAATGCCTCCGAATGCAGACTTTTGTACCAGGCAGATTTTCTTCCTGGCCCTCAACGGCTCGCGTCAAAGCTAAAGGTCACTGCTTCCTGCTGGGAAACCACATCCTGTTGCCCTCTCCCCTGGGGCTGGAAGGCATAGGTCACAGAAACCTGTGAATGGCCTTCTCTTCCCAGAGTGGCACATTTTGGCTCTCTGGGCCCTTTTTCCCTCTAAAGGTCAGCTGGGTGGGGTGTGAGTTCACAGGTGATAAAAATAATCCTTTCCTTGGCAGACAGGATTCTGGCACGGGCTCGAGTCTCAGTGGTTGTGCAAGGTAAAGGCAGGCTGCATGCCCTGCCTTCCCCCAAACCCTAACCTGCGGTTTCTTCCCAAACAGGCCTGAGGTGGGCCAGGAAGTGATGGTGGAGATAGAAGGAATCTCACAAGCCTTGGGGCTGATGAGGCTCGGGGCTCGGGTCTTACAGCCTTTCAGCAGGCCCCTCTGCCAATCCTCAGGGGACCTCAGACCCACTTTGGGAGGTGGCCGGCCAACCCCCTCTTTAAGTTCTCTCTTCCCTTTCCCAGAACTGGAAAGAATACTGAACAGATCTGAGTTCAAAACCTTACTTTGGTCCTACCATGTTCCGCCCATCCATACATTCAGAGGTTGACTTCTGTATGTGTCCCAACCGGGGATCGAACCTGCAACCCTGGCACATCAGAATGTTCCAACCGACTGACTCACCCAGCCAGGGCTCCATTGTTTTTATAAGTTCTAATCGACCCAGGTCAAATTTTGTGCTGTAAATTTTATCAAGAAAATGATTCTTCTGATAATTTTTAGTCACAGATTTTACCATGTACAGTTTTAGCTGCTGCTGGTTCTATTTTCTGTTGATAATTTCTATCAGTAAAAATGACTAATTTGTTAAAAGGCAGATGGACAACTGTTTCTTAGCTAATCATGACAAATCTGGGACAATGTTTTTGTTATTGTTCTAAAGGGAAAACATGTCTTTGGTGTCAAAATGACACAGGTTCAAAACATTCTGCTTGGGCAGCTGGATGGAGCTCTCATAGTTGTAAAAGTAAAATAATCAATGGCCTACCAGTGGCTTTCAAAATATACTGAGTTCTCTCACTGTGATGGTGGTTGGGCTGTGGGGAGGGGTGGGATGGGTGAGAACTGGAGTGGGGGGTGGGGGAAAATCCTAATCAGGATGGGAAAGGATGGGTCCCAGTTCCTGGAAGTGACTTCCTGGACCCCACCCCATTGTGGGTCCATTGGGAAGGGAGAGGTCTGTCTCTGAGGAAGGGCGAGTAGGTCTGCCACCATCTTGCTAGGGCTAAATCACAGAGGTGCTGGCCTGGAATTCTCCCAAGGTGGCTAGACCAAGATTTTGTGGGTGAAGGTAGGTATAGTTGAACAACACTGAACTCAATCAAAAGACCAGAGTTCAAGTTCCACTGTAGCCTCGGGCCAGCAGCTCACTCAAGGTGAGCTTGGCACTGTACTCTGGCACGTTACAAACTTGTAACGTGCGGAGACCTGTCCCACGCCCTACTTGGAGGATCTCCATCTTATGGGTGAAAAAGTTGGTGCTCAGAGAGCTCAAGTAGCTTACATAAATTATGGAGCCGGCAGAGCCAGACCTTGGTTCCAGGGCCATCTGCCTCTCGAGCTCACGCTCCTGACTAACACACTGTTCTGCCAGAGTGTCTGGAGGAATGAGGCCAAACTCACCTTGGCTTTCAATGCTTTTGTGCGCAGATCCTACTCTTTCTTTCTCGATTTCTCTCTGACTGTTCTGGGAAGATTCTGATTGGCCCCTCACCATGCACAGACCTTCCAGCTCCTGGCTTGGCCTCTCCCTCCTTCACACCTCTTCCAGGTTTCCCACCCTTCCAAGCTGAGTTCAAGTTGTGTTGCCTCCTTTTGGGAACTCTCCGTGGTGTGCTGGCTGCCTCACCGTCTCTATCAGTGGTTCTCGGCCTGAGACTGTAGCACTTCGAGGGGCCAGATGGAACCAGATGGGGATGCTTCTGTAGTTGGGCAGGAGGCACAACTCCCACTTGGTAAGGGGGCTAGGGATGCCAAATGTTTACAATGCACAGAGAACTGGCACGTCCACAATGTCAACAGCAGCCCTACGTGAGGATCACGGGTCTACGTCCTTCACCCCCACTGACTGACACAAGCATGTGGCAATCTGAGCAGGTGACAGTGGGAAAAGCATGGGCTCTGGGGCCATACAGACCTAGGTTTGAATCTTGGCTTTGCTGCTTATCAGCTGTGTAATCTTAGCAAGTGTGTTGACCCCTCTGAGCATCAGTTTCCAAATGCAACACAGGATTAAAAGCAAAAGCTAACCTTATAAGATTATCTGGCACATTAACACAATGATAATAATAAGATTTAGCAGTTATTGAGTACATTAAGTGCCAGGTACTGTGCTAAAAGCTTTCCATGTGACCCATGAGGAAAGGCATAGTCTTTTCCTCCACATTCAGGCGAGGAAATTGAGGCCAGAGAGATTAAGGAACTTGCCCAAAGTCACAGGGCTATTAAGTGGCAGAGTCTGGGTTCAAGGTCAGGTAGTCAAATTCCAGAGCCTGCACTCCTAACTTCTCACTACACTGCCCTCTCTCATGCAATAAGATCACGTGTGAGGCACCTTGCATAGTGCCTGGCACAGCAGCTCTAACACCTGGCAGGGGGCACTGGTATTACTCAGCTCAGTACTACGACAAGTAACATGACATTACCATTCACAAATGTTACTTTTCCAGCAACTGGGGGACACTCTTATCACTCTTTGTAAAGAAACTGTGGCCCAGAGATTATGGTTCTTGTCCTAGGTCACCCAGGGTGTGGCACAGGAGAATGATCCCCCTGGGTCTTACAGCCAGGATTCAAACCTGGCTCTGAATGATGCCAAAGGCCATGTTCTCATCTGGGACCCTGTACTGGCTCCTGAAAAAGCTGCTTCAGAGGCTGCAGAGATGCCTTCTGACCTGATGGTGTGGGACAGGGCCAGGATTCCCAGCACGAAGAAATACATGGACAGCAAGAGGTTGATGTACTCCTGGGAGAATATCTGAGGCAGAAATACAAAGAGAAACAGAAAGTCAGGGTTGTCAGCTGGGAGGAAACCAGAGTCCCCGCTTCTCTTCTGGAGGTTGGTCTCATCCCTCTGGAGCTGGAGAACAGTGTCAGGGAGGATTTCTGACAGCACTGGGGCCTTCTGGTTCTGTGGCCATGGGGAAGAAAGAGATGCACCACCAGATGCACCTCCCAAAAGAGCCTGTGGGTTTTCGCTTTGGTGGCTCCATTACCTGGAGACAGGCAATACTACAGTTATGTCCAGAGTCCTGCATGGGATTGTGGGGGAGGGGAATCTGAGGTTCAGAGTCCCAAGAGAGCCATCTGGACCTAAGAACATACTCTTCAGTTTCCTTCTCCAAGGCCCTGAGCACACTGGTTACAAGTCACCTGCATCCTGCCCCACCCTCCGCATCACACTCCTCTGGACAACTCCTCCCACAGTGATGGTTGAGGTTAGGACGGCCAGCCCTGACAGCTGCTTCTTGGTCTTATATTGTTCGGTGAAACGGAGAAACATTCTCTCTCACAGTGCTCCAAAGCCAACTGTCGCGTTGTTAATTTTAGACTCTGGGAACGTCTCCTGAATTTGTTATTATGAGGGTCTCTAACTGGGAAGCCACAATGTGCTGTCGTGTGGGTCACAGGGACACCGGGCTCTCTCAAACAGGGTTGTTCTGGACTGCTGAAATCTGCCCCTCTGTTCCCATCGCTCCCTGCAGAAAGCCTCACTGCAGCAACTTCCCTCGACTCTCACAGCTCAAGGTCCGTCCTCACCTCGGCCTCTCAGGCCCTCATGGAGACCACTGCAGATCTCTCTGCTGCAGCTCACGCCACGCCTGTCTCACTGTACGTGCTGCCTGGATGCTCTCCGCTTCACCTGGGCCAACGCTACTCATCAGTCTCCTGCTCTCAGTTCAGCAGCTTTCCTTGACATGGCAAGGACCTTCCTTACTGCCTACTACATGCAGGCCGTCGTGCTAACCACTGGGAATTCAGCAAGGAGTAAGGCAGAAGAGTCCCTGCACTCACAGACTTCATGTGCCAGCGAGGGAAACAGAATCTCCAAAGAAACAAATATGCAATATATTGTCAGGTGGTGACAGGTGCCAAGAAGAAAAGCTAGCAGGGCAAGTAGATGGAGAGAGAAGTGGGGAGAGCTCCTATTTAGACAGGTGGCCAGGGAAAGCCTCCCCACAACAGGACAACACTCATTTCATTCAGAACAGAACCCTTAACAAAGGGAGCAGCTGTGAGGATATTTGGGGGAAGAGCATCTGAGGCAGAGTGAAGGGTGAGTACAAAGGTCCCGAGGTGGGTATGCTTATGTGTGCAGAAACAGTGAGGGCCCGAGTCTGGAGCTGAGAGCAAGGGGAGGGTGTCAGGAGATGAGACTGGGAAGCTGGGAGACAGACCCTGCAGTGGCATGAAAAGGCTTCAGATTCATCTGAGTGGGACAGGCTGGAACTGGAGGGCTGTGATGCAATGGCCTGGGAGGCTCCCTCTGCTGCTGTGTGGAAGACAGGCTACAGTTTCAGAGTGGAAGCAGAGCCCAGTGAGGAGGGCACTGCATAACCCATGCAGGGAGGACGGTGCCTGGGGCAGGGGTGGAGGGAAGTGATGAGCAGTGGTCGGCCTGCAGACCTGCTCTGGAACTGCAGATATGGGGTGTGCAGAGGGCTGGCTGTGAGGACTAAGAAGGAGCGGGGAGCAGGATGGATCTGGGGTTTCTGGCCGAGGAGCCATGTGGATGGAGGTGCTGATGTCTAATATGGAGGGTCTGGGCAGGAGCAGGGGTTCCCGCCAGGATGGTTCTTCTGTGCTTCCCGGGTGCTATAGACCTAGCTTTCACAGCACTTCTCAGGACTAAAACTTCCCCTTTACCTATGTGATCATTTAATGAGCGTCTGTCCCCACCACTTAACAAGAAACTCCTGCAGGGAATGGTTGGCTGTTTTTCTCACCCTGGTGTCCCCAGCACCCAGTACAGGGCCTGATGGGTAGCAGGCACTCAGTAAGTGTTTATAGGATGAGTGAATGGATGAGCAAATCAGTGGCCTACACTGCTATGAGAAAAAGACCTATGAGCACAGGCATGTGGCCTGTGTTTTACTTACGATGATGTGGTGAACCTTTCACATAGGGTCCTTCAATGGGGGCCCTTGGGAAAACTCTCTCGGCTGCACCGTTCAGCTTGGCTGGCCTGACTGTGTGGACTAGGAATTGTGCAGCAAGTCTCACTTCCTTTGTGCCCTGGCTACTAGAAAGTTTAATTTTCATGAGCTGACTCAAAGCAATCAGTTTTAGATGAGATGGGATAAAGTAAATTTTATGATTTTGAGAAATGTTACAAACTCTAGTGCCCCACTCAGGAGGACAGGATGGAAGGGGCCGAGTAACCAACCAGCTGTCAGGCTGAGCTCGGGAGGAATCTGGTGGCTGTGCTGTCCAGGCAGCTGCCTTTCCAGAACGTCAACGTGGACATTCTGGAGACAGGGGGAAGAGGTAGGCTGTGTCCTCTGGCACGAGGCAGGCTGGGGCTTACCTGCCAGAAGGAGACAGGCCAAGCAACAGGCATCCAGTGCCCTAAATAAAAATGTGCACCCCCTCTGCTGCCAGAAATTCCTTTCTGGGGAACCTAGTCTAAGGAAGGAATCCTAAATATTAAAAATGTTAGGTGGTCTTGAGGCAAGGGCCTGGATGTGTATTCCTGGCACTTAGTACAGCAGAGACTTGAGAAACAGCTGCTAAAAGCAAAGGCAGGGGCAATGGGCTAAATGTACACAGAGCCACAGAGAGATCTCACAAGTACAGGGGAAAGCAAAAGGAAACAGAGGGAGATGTCTTGCAAAATCCTGTTTATGGGAACTAGACCCTCACTCAATACACACAGATGCACCAATACCATATATTTTACAAGGAGACACACATCTAAGGACACAGATCAAACCATCAGAGCGGGTGCCTCTGGCAGAGAGGGTGGAGGCAGGAAATGGAGGTGGGTTTCAGGAGTACACAGGGGAAACAGAAAAAGGGGGGCTGCTTGGATTGATGGCAGTATTCTATGAACCAAGCATTTGAGAAATTCAACTCTTCACCTGAGGTCCGGGGAAAAACAACAACCGATGAATACTTAATGTTACCTGATTCACTCTTATTTACTGATAAGAATAAAAAGCAGAATAATTTTCTGTTTAAAGTGAGAGGGATGATGCAAGTCAACCATGGTGTATGTGCCTGGGGGGGATAGTCTGAAACCAAGTTCTGATCCAACAATGAAGGAGTGATGGACCAGGAAACAGGCATTAGTCATTACACTTTTGACTCATTCGCAGGCTGGTAAAAACAAAGAATGTGGATGCCACCCAGTGCAGGTGAGGCGACATGGAAGCCAGCACACTTGTGACTGTCACAGTGGATGTAAACTGGTATAACCTCTTTGGGTTGATGTGGCACTATCTGTCCAAATTATACATAGAGATGCTATTTGACTTGATAATCTCACTGCAGATACACTTGTAAATATGTACCAAGATGTGTGCACAAAGATGTTTCCGGCAGCACTGCCGTGATGCCTCCGTACTAAATACGCCTCAGGACACATCCGTAAAACAGAACCACAAGCAGCTGCTAAAAAGAATGAGGTCGATTTTACTGTCTTCATACAAAAATATCTCCATGATAAAAATCATGTTTCAGACATGTAGTTATTTTTAAATTTTAACATAAATGTAGATCTATACATAAATGTAGATCTACACATAAATGTAGATCTATACATTAAAGATTCATAAGAAACCAAACTGAGGAGAGGATTATGGCTCATTTGTACCTTCTCTTAGATTTAAAAAAAAAAATTTAACTATGCACATGGTATTTTTAAAATGTAAATTAATGGTTGTCCTCGAGGCCCGGCCGGTGTGGCTCAGTGGTTGAGTATTGGCCCATGCACAAAGAGGTCGTCGGTTCAATTCCTGGTCAGGACACATGCCCAGGTTGTGGGCCCGATCCACAGTGGGGGGCGTGCAGGAGGCGGCCAGTCAATGTTCTCTCTCATCGATATCTCTATCTCTCTCCCTCTCCCTTCCTCTCTCTCTAAAAATCAATAAAGAAAAAAAAAAGACCTCACACTACTATTATAATGATTATTATAATTATGTTAAAAACATGCTTATCAGAAGCCTGAAAAGAGACAGGCTAAAATGTCAAAAGAAATTACTTCTGTGTATTTTTCTGTCTCTTAATATCCCCCTCTTCTTTAAGTTTTCTTTTTTTAAATGTTTCATTGATTTTTTTTTTAAATACTTACCTTAGGATATTTTTCCATTTATTTTCAGATAGAGTGGGAGGGAGATAGAGAAAGAGAGAGAAACATCAATGTGAGAGAGAGACATCAGTTGGTTGCTTCCCACACAACCCCAACCAGGGCTGGGGACTGAACCACAACCAAGGTACGTACCCTTGACCAGAATTGAACCCAGACTCTTTGGTCTGCGGGTTGATGCTCTAACCACTGAGTCAAACTGGCCAGGGCATGTTTTATTGATTTTTTAGAGAGAGAGGAAGGAAGGTGGGGGGAGACAGAGAGAAATATTGACTGCCTCCTGCACGCCCCCTACTGGGGATCGAGCCTGAAACCCAGGCATGAGCCCTGACTGGGATTCAAACTGGCAACTTCTTGGTCCATGGGTCGACGCTCAACCACTGAGCCACACCGGCTGGGCTCTGTAAGTTTTCTGCATATACTACTTTTATAATTAGAAAACAAGACACATTATATTTAAAAAAAAGTCTGAGGAGAGCTTGCAGTAACATGAGAAAATGCTTATGATGTTATTGATGGGAAGTGAACAAAGCAGCTACAAGACTGAGTACACCACATGGTCACAGCTACGGCAAAACCATGCACGGGGAGAAACAGTGGAAGGACACACCTCAACAGGGAATCTGTGACTGTCTCTGGAAGTGGGGTTTTGGATGACTGCTGTTTTCCCCTTTTTACTTTTCTGTGTTTTCCAGGTTTTCAACACTGAGCCTGTGTAACTTTTATTGGGAAAATAAACCTCGATAAATTAAAAAAAAAAAAAAAAAAAAAAAAAAAAGCAATTAGTATGGTAGCGGTATGTCCGAAACACAAGCTACAGCCCACCCCAACATAAATAGTACCATGAAACTAAACTGGTATTATGCAAACAAAACAAAAAGTTCCACAAAAATAAGTCAAGGCTGGTGGGACAGTCTCAAACACCAATAGCAGTTGTCTCTGGAAGTGGGTCTAGGGGTGAATTATTATGAATTTTTTCCTGCTCTTTATTTTTTATAAGTGAACATGCATGTCTCCTGTGATGGGAAAAAAGAAAAGAAAATAAAGTTACTGAAACCAAATGACACAACAGGTTGCAAAAACTTACTTTGAAAAAGAGGTAGAGCCCCAAGAGCGTGCAGCTGGCGATGATGGGGAAGCGGGCGGCGTCCCGGCTGGTGATCGTCTCGGGCATGTCCGAGGCATTCTAGAGGAGAAGAAAGGTGCCTACTGAGCAGGGGTGTGGTTCTGGCCTCCAAGGGCTGGACACTGGTGAGAATTTGATGCCCCAATAGCTCATTCATCTCTTTCCTCCTCTCCACCCCCATCACCCTGTTCAATTAGGTGCCTCAGGGGTCCCGTGTTTTCTTAATTCAAGGCTTTGTTAATGCTGTTCCCTCTGCCAGGGGTGCTGCCCAACCAACCGAGGGCAAGATGCTCTGATCCCACTATTTTGCCACTGAGGAACTCTGGACCCTGACAGGGAAAGTCCAGGGAGGACCTCGTGAATGTGTGGCACATCTGGGGAGAAGGCTACGGCAGAGGCAGTCACGATATGTAGTAAATGAAAAAACAAAACAACAACAACAAAAACCCCAAACCCTGGAAATTGGTGCTAACAGAGTTGTCCTAGAACTCATGAAGACTACTTCCAATTTTCTTATGGATTAGCTAAGAGGTAAATATGATTAATCTTTTATCCAGTACGAAGTGAATACTGAGTGGAAATAAACCAACAACAAACAAAACTGACAATGGCTGGACCACACGTGGGAAGACACCAGAAGTGAGAAGCCAATCTTGACAACACTTGAAACTTAAGAAATTTGGGAAAACCGAATCTGGCAGGAGTGAGAGCCACAACTAAATTCACAATGGTAGATGTTATAGTTGGCAAGAATGTGATCTGGGTAAAGAGCTGACAGCGGATGAATATTTACATGAAAAACAACAGTGCAATCAAACTAATTTCATTATGAATATAGAAAATTGGAAATGGAGTGATAATGCAACATAGGAATCAAATGGCTTTATAGAATTCATACTAACAGATGTTCTAATGTAGATCCATCTATAGTAGTACATTAAAAACGCAGAGTGAAAAGCTTTCAGGATCATGATGTTCTTCATGCCCTCTGCTGGGCAAAATCCTCAGTCCTCAAGGACCCAGCAAATGTCACTGCCAAGAAGCTTTTCCAGATTTCCCCATTGGGAAAAGCCCACTTCACAACTGCAACTTTCAGTGCATTTTAGGTCTAATTCTGTTTTGTATTATAGCTACTGAAAGCCCCAGCTACACCAGATTAGACTAGACTTCTACTCATGCCAAAGGGAAGTTCTATCCACAAAAGCCAGAGAGTCCACCATCATGTCCATCCTGTGAATAAGGCACCAGCATCCCTAAGAGAAAGGATCATGATCAGCTGCAAAGTCTCAATATTTTTGGTTCACAGTTGCCTCTTAAAAATCAATAGGACAAAACAAGCGAAGGGGCAAGCTGACTGGAAGGTAGAATTTGGCCCAGGGAGGCCCTCGTGCACCACAGTGGAAGGTTGCAGAAGGGGGAGGAGATGGGGGCATAGAGCAGGAAGCCCATGATGATCACTAGGAGATGGAGGGGTGGGGAACTGGGAAGCTTACATGCCACCCGTTTGCATACAAACTCATCCAGCCTTTTGGGGAGGGCAACTTGGCAGGTATGTCAAATCATAACCTACACATGCTCAAGATATAAAGAGAAGATTCACAGAACAGGCACTACAAATGGCTCTTAATTACAGGAAAAATGTTCATCCTCACTCTTAATAAGAGAAGCTCAAATTACAGTCCAATGAGATTCCGTTTTTCATCATTAGAATGGCAAAAATTCACACATTTGATGATACACTGAGTTGGGAGGCATGGGGAAAGTAGGGGCTGGCCCACGCTGCTGACAGGAGGGCACACTGGTCTTACAGTAGAGCACACGCTGGCAATCACTGTCAAAAGCACAGATGTACACCCCCTTTGACCAAGCAATTCCACTTCTGGGAATTTTTCCTACAGCTATAATTCACACATGTGCAAAATGGTGCATATAAAGTATAGCCAAGGTATTCACTGCTCTCTTAATGGCTTGCTGGGAGACTGAGACAAATCATTTACTCATCTGTCAAACAGAAGACAATCTCTAGTTTTACTTACCTCTAAAAGGGCCAAGGAGCTTACACCAAATGAGACATGGGATGTGAAAGAGCCTGGTAAACTGTAAAGTGCTGTGACTGTATGAGGAGCTATCTTATCAGGGAGGCCCCTTCATCAAACCCCCACATAGGCATGGCTGAGAGGCCCAGGCCTGGAAGGTAGAAGCTCCCCTCTGGAGCTCCCAGAAGCAGCTCTGGGTGAGTCACTCTCTGGCAGCTTTGCTGGGAAGTGGCGGCGGGGTAGGTGAGCAACACTGACACTGAGAGGCAGCGTCATCTTCCTTCCCTCTTCTCTCCCAGCTTATTGGTTTCTGCTTTCGGCAGGAGCGTGCTGGGGAGCTTGGGCAAGTTCCTCACCCCTCTGTGTACCTCCACAAATTCTTTGTTTCCTGTGTAGCAGTAATGTGAGCACACACACACACACACAACAAACAAAAACTAGCTCCTGACCTCAAAGAGTTCGCAGGCAGGCCAAGACTGTGAGAGTAAACAGAATATCACAACACACTGTGACACGTGACACAACAAGACATGTAACTGGTGTGCTACACGGCTCGAGTGCCAAATGGTTGTGGGAGAGCTCTGATGTCAGAAAGTCCAGTGTGCCTCCCGCTCTGCCTCCCAGCTGTGGGACCTTAGGACTTATTCTCTCTGAGAGCCTCAGCTTCCTCAGCTGTAATATGAGTTGTCAGGAGTCTATGATTTTTGCACTGGAAGTTTTTAGTGCTGTGCCTTGAGCACATTGCTCAAGCTGTAGAAATGATTTGTATCATCACATACAAGGGAACCATGAGAAAGCTAACAGAATACTACTTCTGCATTGAAGTAGGGGGGTGTCAGAAGTGGTCGGAGCAGATGCCACTTAAGCAAGAACTTGAAGGCCAAGCACACAAGTGTGAAAGTATACAGGGGACTCTGGCTTCACCTACCAATCAATGTTAGGGCTCATTTCCACATATTCCTTTCATTTCAGCCCAGTATCCTGGGTGGGAAGAGGCTTAATATTATTTGATGACAAACCAAGGTTGAACAGATGCTTCACCATACAAAGGAATCAGGTCTCCTCCGTGGGTGACTGTTATAAATATCCCATGCCGTAATGTTGAGTCAGAATGGAGGACCTGAAATCCGACGGACAGTAACAGTAATAAGGATAACATTTACTGAGAACTTTCTAGGGGCCAAGCACTGTTCTGGGCACTTTACATGCTTTCATCCTCACAAAAACCCTACGAAGCAGGTACTTTTAGTAGCTCCATTTTACAGATGAGGAAACTGAGGCTCAGGTGAAATAACTCGCTTTAAGGTCACACAGCTGACAAGCGGCAGAGCCAGGATTCAGAGGCTGCCTGGTTCCAGAGCCCAAACTCTTGACTATTCCCTAGGCGCCCTCTACCTTTCCTATCTGGAAATTTCTGCCGGAAAGTTGTGGTAATATGCTCAGGGGGCCTGAGACCTTTCTGAGGAACAGACTCCTGGCAACAGAACAGGTAATCTTCTTAGTCACAAAAATACTAAATGTTGTTAGGATTCTCTCCTAATTCAGAAATTTGGACTTTTTTAAACCAGATGCTCCTATGCAAATGCAATAGCTCCTGACACATGAAACCTAAGCAGAGAGTAGGGGGAGCTGACACAAATAGCAGAAATAAATTTAGCTTCCAGTGACACTCTGGATGTTGTTATCAGGGCGGAAGCAAAAGCAGCGAGGGAAGGCAGATGCCCAGCTTCAAGCCTTTGGTTCAGCTCGAGCTCTGGGAATACTGCTTCCAGGCCACGCTTCAGAAATGCTCTGGAATTCATGGACCATTCTGTTACTCTGTCACCCCAGCTGGAGATCCCAGGGTTTCCCCTCCTTACTACCATGTCCACTCACTCACCTGGCCATAATTCTACTCCCTGAGCACTTCCTGAACTAATCCCTCACCCCAATCCTCTGCCCCCAACCACCTCACCAGCCTCTTTCCTTTCTCCCTCCTGCCCATCACCGCCCTGCCAGGAGTGCTTTTGGAAGTTTAGACCTGATTGTATCACATACCTGCTCAAAAACCTCCGGAGAATGGACTACTAAGCAGCCATTACACAGGAATCGAGGTCACTGCTGGTAGGAGTGTAAATTGATACAACCCCTATGGTGGATAATTTGGTAAAGTTAAAACACTCACATTGCCTTTGACCCAGCAAATCAATTTCAAGGACTTTATCCTACAGATACACAGACAAATATGAAATAACCGTACAAGATTAATTTCAGCATGGCTTGTCACAGCGAAGGACTGGCTCCCTCAATGACCAGCGGAGGACTCTAAGTCAGGGTTCTCACACTGAAGCACACATCAGAATCACCAGGAGGGCTTGTGAAAACAGACTACTGCTGGGCCCACTTGAGATGCTGCTGGTCCAGTCACTTTTGAAGTACAGGGGGGACACCAGAGGACAGCTATCAGAGAAGAACACGACCACGCCATAGGTAATGACCTATTTGTCACCAATATATATTCAATGAAAAAAAGGTGCAAAAAGAGTGTATATATAACAAAATATAACAGTCATATAGGAAAAGTGAGAAAAGCTTATTTATTTGTAAAGGCACAGAATCTCTTGGACGGTTATCCAAGAAACTGGTAACAAGGTCTGCCTCTGGAGAAAAAACTTGGGCCACTGGGGTGGGAGGAAGATTCACTGCACACCCCTCTGTTCTTCCGGAATCCTATACCATGGACATGCATTACCCACCCTCCCTGCCATAGAAAAATGTGGTAAACCCACATGTACTGACACAGGAAAACGATTAAGACATTGTTAGAGGGGGAAAAAAAATCCAGTTGCAAAGCATTAGGCCCTATAAGGCCTCAGATTTTTTATAAAGATAAATTTACATATGGATATACACATGGGCACATACATATGTTTATATAAACACAGAAAAAATTCTGGAAGGTTACACACCAAAGAGCAAACCGAGTTACTTCCAAGAAGTGGTACTAAGGAGGCTTTTCCTTTATACTTCTGCATTACTTGATTTCTTGCCCTTAAGTGCAAGTGTGTAGTAACTTTGTAACTATGAAGATTAACTATTGCATTGCCTTCAGGATTCAGTACCTCAGAAAGCCTCTAGGCTCCCTGAGCATCTTGTCACCCTTTCCAAGCCCCTGTACTGGGCTCACATTACACTACTCCAGCCTCCCTTGTGGCCCCAGGCCCCCCTCTCTTCCTGTTGTGCCTGCTGAACTCTCACCCATCCATACAAAGACAACTGCTGCCAACTGTAGGAGGTACATCAGCATTCAGTTTAGTTGGCTGGTCACACATCTGTTTCTCCTTGGTGACAGCTCTTGGCCTTCTTTGTCCTGGCAACCCTGATACCCAGCCCAGGGTCTGGCACAGAGCAGGAATCCAGTCCAGTTGGCTGAGGGGCTCCTCTGAGTCACAGGCCAAGCACCTTTAAAGCAATCTGCTGTGCAGCCATTGCTGGGCCTGGGATCTGCTCCTTTCTGGGAACACGGGTCTCTGATAGGGATGGGCACCCTCTGAGATTACTCCTCCTATGCCTACTTCTTCCTAACATACTCCGGGATGCTCCACTTTCTTCTCTCCATGATTTCACAATTTGCCCTGCCTGTTATGGACAAGTTAGCTCCAGGGAGAATTCTGTCCTCATATGCCCTCTCTCCGATGGCTTTGGGGTTTAACACTGGTGGGAAGTATGACTCAGGGTAGAACAAGGAAGTCATTTGGCCTGTCTCTTCCCTAGGTCAAAATGCCACTTGTCTATCATTTAGGCAGGGGCACCCACAGGGGAATGCCCCAGACTAGGAACAGAGGCACCTGGTTCTGTCACTAGTTTGGTATAGTGATCGTGAGAAGTCATTTCTTTGACTCTCCGTTTCTTTCTCAGTACAATGCAGATGATAAAACTGGCTCTGCCTGCCACACTTGGTTGCTGGGAGAATCAGAGAGGGTGGAGGCTTTGTAAACTTTAGAATAGCCTAGTGATGGGAGGCTACTAAGTAAGGATCAGGCCATTTGCAACCTCAGGCATAGTCTTCCAACCCCTGCTGTCCTGTAGGAGATGCTGAGGGGAGGTATTTAGAAGTGACAATGGATCTAAAGCTCTCTTCTATCCAAATCCTCTGCTCCAGCCACAACATCTTCTAAATGGCCTCGCACCTGTTTACCTGGTTTCCATTCCTAGAGTGTCTTCTATATTAAGGCTCAAGCCCACCTTCAGCATAAAACTGTCCTGCCCTGTCCCAGGTGTGCTTAGAGCTTTCTCCCTAAATCCGACCTGTATTACAATCACAGACCTAGTTATTCCTCCCTCATCCAGACACCTCAACTCCCTGGTGACAGGGCTCTGATCCACTCATCTCTAGCAACTCCACACAGTCTAGACAATAGTGGAGATTCAGGAAACTTTGTTGCCTGGAAGGTGTTTTCTGAAGAGATTAGTGATCCATATGCAGAGAAGGTACCAAGAGTTACTCAGATAGTTTTGGGAGCCCCTCAGATAAACCACCCAGCTTACACATGCTGCCCCTCACCTCCTTTCTCCTGGTCTATTTCAGAACTTCTCCCTGCATCAAGTGTCTGCCTGAAAGGTATGGTAGGGAGTCTGAAAGCCACCTGAACTCTGCTTAGAAGAGGCAGAACAAAAAGGTAAATGGGGCCACCTAAGCCTTTCCTATTCCCCTCTGTGTCTGTCCAGAAAGAACCAGCAGTTGGTCTCTGATCCTGGGGAAGGAAGGTGGCAGGCCTCAGCCACTGTTCAAGTTGGGTGTTTCGAGAATGCGAGTTTGAGCAGTTTCAAAAGTGGCAGTTGCTTTGTGGGCCTGCCCTCTTTGGGTAAGACAGCTTCCGCTGAGGTTCACCTTCAGGTTTGGGTGGGGAGAAGTAGCAGGGAGCTGTAGATCAGGAGGATGTGGAGGAGGGGATTGGGTGCCAGGAAGTGAGAAGCCACTGCGTACAATGGGCCAGAGAGGACTTCATATAGGGAAGAAGGGTGAGGGTGGAAAGAGGAAGTGGAGAGGTAGAAGGTGCTGGCTTCTCTTTGGTATCCAAAGGGACAGATGTTGAGGAAGGCCAGGGATGGGGTCTGGCCTAGTCTAACCCGACAAGCCAATAGCAGCTCAGTTACTGGCACACAGGCCCAATTTGGTGGAGGGACAGTCTTGGGTGCATAGAGAGAAAGGCTACTTTGAGGTAGGGTCATGGCCTGGGGTGGGATCAGGGTTAGGGATTAAAACAGGGTCTGGCCTCAGGTAGAACAAGGTTGGCTGGTTGTCAGGGAGAAGAAACCAGTAAAATGAGGTGTCTATGTCTGGTTACAAAGCGAGGCACCAAGGTGCCAGATACTGAGGTTCCAGCAAGTGATGTAAAAAACTGTAGGGTGAGCTGGGTCTATACTTCCAGGTTAATTTTTTTTGAGGCAGGGACAAAGGCCTGATCTGGGGGTTCTGGAGAGCACACTACAGGCCAGATTCCAGTTAGTCAGCGTCCAGGGATGGGCCTGGATGCTAGAATTTGCCCTGGGTCGGCGTGAGGCAGGGTTCCTAACAGAGGGATGACACAAGAATGTACCATTCAGTTCTCAGGACCAGTGCCCCAGAGGTACAGATTGGGGTTACTCCAGAGCTTGGGATGGGGTGACTGTCTCTGACGGGATGAACAGCCAGAGCAGAGGCTGGGTTGGTCTGGCTGGGTCCAGTTGGCTCAGAACAATTAGTACCGGAATCACAGTGTGAGGGTCGGCTGACAGCGTTAGAAACCATCCCTATTCGAGGAAGGTGTCAGGAGCCGGGTAGCGGGTTGGTGCCCAGATGTTGCGGCACCTAAAGCCAGCCGCGGGTTGTGGGCCTGGGGTGGGGAAGCGGTGGTGATCAAGGCTCGGAAGAGTAGGTGTCAGGGAGAGGAGGTGTCTGCCCCTTCTAGGGCGGGCGAGGACGAGTCCACGTCAGCCGTTCCCCGGGTGGGAGGTGGAAAGCACCCGGTTTGGCCGCTGCCCCTACCTTGCCGCGGGCGCAGCGCACGGAGCGCAGGGCGCCGAAGAAGATGGGCAGTAGCGCCATGAGCAGGAGGCTGCCGTAGGCCAGCGCGATGCCCTCGGGCGTGGAAGGCGGCCGCGCCGTGACGTTGGCTGGGCTGGCAGCCTCGGCGCTGCCGTTCTGAGGATCGCTGAGGGCCGTGTCCATAGCGAGGCTGCGCTCCGGCTCCGACTCCAGTTTCGGCCGTTGCAGCAGAATAGTAGAAGGAAAGACGGCCACTGCAGGGAAAGCCACGTTCCCCTAAAGAAACAGGAAGTGACGTACCTTCCTCGCCGGCCCGGGCCGCGCACGCTTGCGCGTTCACGTCTCCCCGCCCGCGCGCCCTCTAGCGGAGGCGGAGGACCGGGCGACTAGTTGCTAAGCAACTTGCCAGGAAAGGTCAGGAAAGGACCACTGGACCACTGTGGTGGGCATCCATCCCAGGGGAGACCCGAGGATCCTGTTTTCAGTCCCAGTCGACTTCCTCAGTCGACCAGGCTGTCCCACAGATCCTAATCCTCATAACTAAGCATTTGTTTGCTCATACATGCATTCACCCGATATTCCATCGTTCCCTCACATCTTAAATATTTGAATCTCCCATTATATGCCAGGCACTGTCCTAGGCTCTGACACAGAGGAGGAACAATACAGGCAAAAGTATGTCCCTACTCTTGTTAAGTTTGAGTTTTTAGTTTGGTGGAATGGGGGCGGGGTGTTGGGAAGACAATAAATACAATGAACAAAATAAAATATAAAATCTATATAGGATGCTACTGTATAGTTATATGTTACATAGCATGTTAATGGAGATAAGTACTTTAGAGGGGCCTTTCTGAGAACCTAGTACACTTCCATATATGGCTTGAGCCAGGGTGGTTCCAGCCAGTTCTACAGGACTGTTCAGGTGGCTGTCTCCGAAGATGAGCAGGCCTGTGGAGCTCCCAGTGGATGTGTGTCCAGAAATGAGGAGATGGTATGAGTAGGAGTGACCTGGACTTGGGTGCAGGCCCATGCTGTCTGGGATCCTGGCTATGTTACTACTGCCCTAGTTAAGAGCTGGAGAAAGTGTGTGTCAGACAAACTGGAGAAAGCTGCACCCTGTAGGCATTTAGCACTGGAGAGACTTTGAGCCAAGCAGTGGAGAAGAAACCATGCTTTCCAGGAAACCAAGAATGAGCCATCTGGAACCAGGAAGGAAAGATCCATTCTCCTCTGGTGTCCCTCTAATATACTCTACTGACAAGGCTTAACTTATGTCATCTGGCAAAGGAGAAATCTTTACAAAGCTCAACCTCATTATCACAGAACTGGCAAAAAGTGGATTTAGAGCTGAGAGGCAATAAATTGATAAAAGGCACAGATGGTGCAAAATCACATGGGTTGGTTCAAACTTAGCAGGTGGTGAGGTGGGGCTGGAACATGGGGTTCATGACAAGGGGAGACAAAGGCAAGAAGTCAAATTATAAAAGTTTGAATAGTAGAGTTTTTTTTGCCTAGTGTATTCCATGCACTGTACTAATAACTTTATGTGTGTTTCCTTTGATCCCAATAACACTGGTAAGGGATGATTGGTCCAATTTTATAGATGATGAAACTAAGCCTCACAGAGGTAAACTAGCCAGCCCAGGTCACACAGTTAGCATTGGGAGAGGAGAAACTTGATCTAAAGTTGGTAAGACTCCAAAGACTCTGTTCTTCCCAACATTCTAGCTACACAGAAGGCTAAGGAGTTTGGACTAGAGTAGCTTAGTTCTGGGCAGATGGTGTACAGTTTCAGGCTTTGTTTTCCAATAAGCTGGGCATAACTTAGTGAATGGGTGAAGGCAGTGTGCCTGATGAATTCACCCATCAATAATTCAGGCCATCGGATTTACCCAGCAACCGGACCTCATGGCTCTGAGCCTCCTCATCTGAGAGCATACAATCAGAAATCAGAGACACCACTGCTTCGTGCTAGGCTGAGCTCTTGATTTAGTTTGGCCTAGGGCAGATCTGGCCATCTCCCTTTACACTCCAAAGTGGGAGATTGTGAATATGACCCAGGGAACTAAGGGGTTGACCTAAGTTCAGAAAGCTCCTATCAAGGGTTGCATTTCTGGCTTGAGGTCTACCTGTCTTGGTATTATTCTCCAGAGATAGGGATGAGATAGTCTGAGGGTGGGAGCACAAGGCTTTATCTACCAAAGCCTTCTGTATAAGGCTCCTTTTCCAGAGGACATTTGAACTGATGTCAAGAATGGAGGTTGCCCAGCTGGTGTGGCTCAGTGGATTGAATATTATCCTATGGACTAAGAGGTCTGGGTTTGATTCTCTGTGTCAGGGTACATGCCTGGGTTTCGGGCTGGATCCCCAGTACGGTCATGCAGGAGGCAGCTGATCAATGTTTCTCACATTGATGTTTCTATCTCTCTCTCTCTTTCAATCTAAAAAAAAAAAAAAAAGAAATGGAGGTTGTTTAGAGCCTGGGGTAGTTAAATTACCAAATATTTCTTCCAAAGAAATATAAAGTCCTCTCCCTCCCCCTTTTTACTTATTATTGTATTTAGTCACTGTGAATTGATTTCCAATTTTTTTCACAGACACTTGGCACACTCTATTACATGCTTAAATAGTTCTTCCTTTTATAATTACTAAGTAATCTGTGGGGTAACACTTTAAGACTGTATGAATATCCTGTTCCTTAACAATCTTCCTCTCATAGTTTTACTAAAAGGAAGAAGTTTCCTTTACAATGGAGTGATCTGGTGGGTACTCCCCTATCAAAATAATCAAACTTAGCATCATCAGATAGAATGGAACAAAATGGCAAGATGCAATGTGATGTGGGGGACATATCACCTGTATAATCTTGCCAAACAGATTATACTTAATCTGCTTAATCTGCATCTACTCATGAGGAAACATCAGAAAAATCAGGATTGTGGCACATTCTACAAGACAACTAGCCAGGACTCAGAAAATTTTGGTGCTACCCTGGCCTGGTGGCTCAGTTGGTTGGATCATCATATCGTACACCAAAAGGTTGTAGATTTGATTCTAGGTTTTGAGTTTGATCCTTGGCTGGGGTGCATATGAGAGGCAACTGGAACAGGAAGAAATACTGTGCCCTCATACCTCCTTGCTTTAGGGCTGGAGTCCTCATTTGGGAAATTTTGTTTGGAGGCCAAAGCAGCTCATGTGAATTGTCTTTAGCTCCACAGTTCTAGAGAAATTCTTGAACAGGTCTACTAGGGAACATGTCCGAAGATTCCCCTGCAGGTTTTGTTGTTGTTTGTTAGCAGGAAGTTAGAGCAAACCTTGGTGTGTGTCACTGGGGAACAGCAGACAAGCTGTGCTGGATGTATACTATGGGATACTAGGCAGCAGCAGGAAGCAACAAGCCAAGTGGATGCTCAGTTAGTGCATGTCCTGGTTTGGGCTGGATGGCCATGGTTTCTGCCCTTTGTCCTGGCTTAATTATTAATTATTAATAGAACCCCTTGCACTCTTAACAGTATACCAGTTTTCGTGGCTGGTGTGGCTCATTGGATTGAGCGTGGTCCCGTGGACTGAGAGGGCACATGCTTGGGTTGCCCGCTCGATCCCCAGTAGGGGATGTGCAGGAGGCAGCCGATCGATGTATCTCTACCATAT